TTTAGTAGGTAATATTTATTATGATGGAAATTGATGTTTTAACGAAATTGGTAAAAACGAAAATAGTGGCTGTAGTTATAGAAAAAATGTAAAAGAAGAAAAAATGTAACGAGAAACAAATTTGGATTTTTTTGAAAAATGTTTTGGAAATTTGTTTATATAGTTAAAAACATAATTTCTTGATAATATGGCAACATAGGTAGTAGATTAAATTTACAAGAAAGAAAACCTAGAAAAGATCCAGTGGTACTCAAAATATAAGCAAGAAATCATTTTTTTTAAATTTTCAAAGTATATAACTCGGTTATTTTGAAGTTATTTGAAAAAAGTTAAAGAGGAAGGAAGAGTTTCTTTTATGGAGATCTAACAAGCCCTGAAAATATTTGTATTTATTTATGACTCACCCTGTATATGTCGAATTGAAACATTTTAAAATTGTGTTTTATTAAATAAACTAACCGGTGTTTTTACAACAATTTATACAATAATTATAAATAAATCTTCTTAACACATTCTTTGACAGATAATCAGTATACCTTATAAAAGCTAAACAATTTTAAAAATTACGATTTACTTTTTCCAGTATAATATTTTTACACTTCTTACAGCCAAAAGCGTAATAAATGTAGTATTTAAACGTTTTTGACCGTATGAAAATGTTAAATGAACTTAAATGCACATTTTCAGATAATATATTTTTTTTTTTCGAAACAGAGGTGAGCAAATAAACATATTTAAACGTTTTTTACCATACGAAGATGTATCATAAACTTACAACACCAAACCAAAACAGTAAGAAGAAAGTGAAATCGTGACAGATTTGTTTCAAACAATTTGCCATAAAAGTTACACGAACATACCATACTATACATAATTACTATCATATAGAGTCTAGAGTCTTTTGAAATATTGAAAAAATGCGACCAAAGATGATATTGCAGTGAAAAATAAGAAATCTGCAACTTGTTTGACTGAAAATATAGTCTGTCCAGATAGAGAGTGTGCGATTTCGACAGATGACATCCAAAAAATGACAGAAAAATATATTTTAATTTTGAATTATTGCCAATTTTGTAACTGCAAACGTGATTACAGAAATATCCAAAAAAAACCACTGTCAATCAACTACCCCATGTTTATTGCGCTATCCTGTACTTTAGTGATATTTTAGCCACCTGAACACAGTAATTAGATACTACAGTGATCCCAATCTTGCCTTGTAGAAGAATCTAGTTAGGTTGTATTAATAATACATAAGCGACCCAAGTTACCGTTTCGTCTACCCTGCCTGGGTCAACCAAGGGGGCTAGACGATCCTCTGAGAGTAGGTCTTGGCGGAGCAGAAGCACGGAGATACCTCCGACTGCTCCACGAAGAACTTGCTCCAGAGGAAGCAAAAGCGAAAACTCCTCTGAAAAGGAGAGAGTAAAGAAACCAAGAAACAACCTGACTCATCTCTATCCAAGAGCAAGAGAGGGCGAGAAACCTCTCACCTCTTCTCCGACAGGAGATAAAAAAAAAAGCCAGGATGGAAAGCCGTCCAACACCGGGAGGTAAGCAGGGACTATCACCAGCTTTACCGCTATTGCTGGACAAGTAAAAATGGCGGTGCTGCTAAAGGATTTCCCAGAGGTTGCTCTGACCATCGACCAGCAAACGTCTCTAGAAGAGGCTATACTAGACGAAGTAATGGCGATCAGATCGCAACACAACGATCTACAAAATGTGGGTCAACTGCGTTTTGCGGGGATACACTTTCGGGTGGGCATGATCCTCATAGATTGTGTATCTCAAGAATCGGCGAATTGGTCAGAACTTCTGGCCAATGGTCTTCTCTTTAAGGTCGCAGTGATTAACCCCCCCCCCCCCCCCACCTTACTCATTCTACATTCTACAATCTTACCTTAAATACATATCCATCAAAGTAAGAACCTGGTCATCTTTCTCGAACAAAAACCAATTAGAAGTTTCCAAAAAATACCTAAAAGCTTCTCTGTCTTTAATCGGTATGTCTAGCGTCCTTACACCGTGTTTTTTCTTAAACTTTAAACAACCCGTCAGTTTGGCAAATTTCAGATATTTCGCGCTGTATTTCACATTACGATCCATAGTCACTAACTTGTTCGAACCCATCGAAGACATTAGCGAATTTGATAATAAAGAAATAACAAGAAACTGTTGTTTATTTATGTCGAAATACAATTCATCGCAATATAAACATATAATAGGAAAAAATTATACGTTAAAACAATTATTATTGCGCAAAAAGGTAATCTTCGATTTGTCGAAAGGTGGTTTTAAGTTGTGGTTCAGTGGTGATAAGCCTGTGTCCATTCTAAGTGACCTTCTATGATAATTTGTAGGTACAAAAAAGGGTCAAGATTCATTTATAACTAATTATATGTACTTTTTTATTTGGGGTACAAAAGAATATTACGTTAGATAGAGGGTGTTTCAAATAACATGTGCCGTATCTCGTGGGGAGATTCCTCATGTAAAAATAAGATTTATTTTTCATATTAACACAGGTCCGATTCTGCTTTGTTTCGTAGCTACAGGGTGTTAAGTCTTAATAATCTTTCGAATCATTATAATTTTCTTCCATGTACTTTTAGTGGTTCGAATTTCGAATGAAATTTTGAGGGTGATTAATATTTTATAGTTTTCTTTATATTTTTTAAGTTTTAGTTTTGTTTTTTTTAACTAAAAAGATTTGCTAATTTCGATGTCATTGTTTGCTACATTTGAGTTGACATGAAGCTCATTAGTTTTTTAGCCTAAAACTGTTTATAGATCACCAAATTAAACTAAATATAGCAAAAAAACTATATATACAGGGAGTTAATATCCCAAACCAATATATTTAAACGTATAAAATTATATTTTTTTCATAAATCACAAAAGTATTAATTTTTGCTACGTGATTGACAATATAAAAAAGTCATTTTAACAGCCTTAACTTAAGGACTTAAACTGACATGAAGTGTCAAATTCAACGAGCATAACCATAGTTTCTCGATATACAGGGTGAATCTTAAATAAGTGCAAATATTTTTAGGGTTAGTAGATCTCGATAAAAGAAACATAATATTTTCTCTTTACCGTTTTTCAAATAAGTCCAAAATAACCGAGTTATTTTTTATTTTATTTTGAAAATTTCAAAAAAAATATGTTTTATGATTAAATTTTGAGAACCACTGGACCCGTTCTTCGAAATTTAATCTACTACCTATGTTGCCATATTATGTTTTTTAACTAAAAGCTAAAAAATATTCCAAAAATTTTTTTCAAAAGTTCCAAATTTTTTTTTTTTCGCGAAAAAAATCTAATAATCGTGTTTTTGGGGTCGAAATATACTACCCTAAATATATTTGCGCTTATTTAAGACTCACCCTGTATAATTGCATTGTCACTTAATTTGCCGTTTTTTTTATCACGTTTGAAATTGTTTAAAAAAAAATGTTAAAAATATTTGTGAAGTTTAAAAAATAGCATGTTCTATTCGGAGTAAAAATTATTTTTGGAACCTCGCCTGTATGCCAATTGTCAAACAGCCTGACCAGAAAACGTATCATTTTTACTCCTAATAAAACAATACACTATTATTTTCTTCAGAAATTTTTATTTCTAATAAAAGTTGTAATTTTATCTGAAAATGCTAATAATCAAATAGTAAAAATTGACAATATTTAATAAGAATTCATCGTAACAATACCGTATAATAGAAAAAATACGGCGTCCAGTTGGCTTAGAAATAACGATCGGTGACAATCGATTTTCATTTCAAAGCCTTGTTTTTTTTTTTTTCGATCATATTGTTTTTAAAACCAAAAAATTGTTAAAATATACGTTTTTTACAAAATATTGACTTACCTTTCACATTCTTTTTGGAATTTCTTATGAAAAATCTTACAATCCACCAAAAAATCATCGAAAAGATACTCGGAATACGACGTTTCGCGCTCGTATCCACTATCAGATCCGTCAAACATCACAAACTCCGGGTACGACTCTAAACAACTAATAGGTTCTTCAAAAACGACTAGATTTTTTCTGTAATATGTCGAGTTTTTTTCTTGAATAGAGTTATGGTAACCCCGCGAGGATAGGTGTAATTTCAAAAGACTGAAAATACACATCTTGCCGATTACTAAAAGATTTTTAAATGTTCTATATCTAGTTTAAAACTATTAACGAGGCAGGAACGCGACAGTTACTAACATTATTCACGGTTGAGGAAGTAGAAAAATTAACTTTTGTCTTAAGAGAAACAACATTATAACTGTGGTGCGTCTAAAGACACGACAAGACTGCAACACAGTTCTTAAATTTTCAACTGATTCTATTTCCAAACCTCAGCTTTTGGTTTTGGTTTATTAGACAAGAATCTACGGATAGTAAGTGTAATTTTTTTATCTCTGTATTTAATCGATTTAAACTAGCATCAATCAAATGGATGCCTCGTTGAAAGCGAAGTTTGTCTAGCATAAAAATCCAATTACCTACGCTTCTCGTCTGTAAGAAGAATCCATGTTTTTGTAACTTTCAATTTGTATTCTTTTAATACAATATGATTGAAAAAAAACGGCGTCAGCGATGGCTATGAAATGAAAGTAGCTGTCATGTTATATGTAAGTGTATATGGAATGTCATCGATCATCATTTCCCAGCCAACTGGACGCCGTTTTTTCTCCATCATACGGTACATTGCTTTAATTATAGTTTTATTGTTTAGGAATGTTATTAATAATGTATACCAAGCACGTAGAAATCATCTAAAAGGTCAAAAATACCTAGGTCACCATTTATATCATTATTTCTGATGTTAGATTCTGGTTTACTAAATTGGTTTTCCATAAGCCGATTATAAGTAAGCTTTTTTATTATTTAAAACTATTTTTGAATAAATTTCTTGAATGTTTATTAGCAGACCAAACAAATAAACACAATTGTTATAGCATAATTAATAAAATGTAATGTTATTTATTTCTTTTTTACAGATTTTGTACATCAACCGATGGATGTATACAGTTCCAGGGCAGCTTAGCTGAGGATATTATATTTGCATAGACACGTTTTAAGAGAGAAAATTATATATTAATTATAATGTATTATAATAATTGTTAGAAGAAATGAGATGTAATATACTGTTTAGAGCTTTATATTACTTATACTGATTTATTTATTCTTTAGACTTGGCTTACTAACGATGAATCTATGACAAAAAGCGTTTAACAACTTCTACAATTGGTAAGTTTGGTATTTTGTGAAGAAATACCAAGAAAATCGAACATTTACTTAATAAAAAACGTCCCGTCTATTCAAATTTTTCCTTTGGCTCTTTAAATTGATTACAGCGCCATTGTTATTTAGCGAGAATTTTTGGAACTACCGTCGAAACGATTATGGCGCCCTCGTGCGGAGAGTTCTCAAAGTAAGTAAATATAGGTTTCTGCTTTTTACTGTGTATGAGTGGCGCCATCATGGGTTAAATATTTAAACTAGTCATTTAGAGATTTCTATAAAAAAAATATACAACTAGTGATATCTAACATTAAATAGTTGAACTTCGGTTAAAATTTTCTTTGAGTTTTAAAGAAATCTACTATTTTTAGTTCCCAAAAAGTGTCGAGTGAGAGCCATCTATGAAGAAAATATTATACTAATTTTGTTTCTAACCCTAGAAAATATATTTTTTTTATCTACTTAAAAGTTAAAAGTAAAATAAAGTTTATTTTCAGTTTAATAAGAAGTTCTACTGGTTAAATTAAAATGTACAACGTATATAATATACTTTATAACCAATTTTTAATGTTATTAATCTACCATTTGCATTTTTAAGTGTAATCTGTGAAAACAATAAGTATACAGATGTAACATTTTTTATTACAGATATGGATATATGTAACAATACAATGATATGAGGTTCTTAGAGCTTCTTATGGGGTTAAGAAAAGAGAATACACTAAGAAAAATGGAAAGAAATTAGATTTTCTTTTGGGAAGATGTGAACTTGCCTAGAATTTCGTAAGGAAACTGTGTGCCAAAAATGAGTAAGCTGGAGCAACAAGATTGGAATCCTGTTGCTTTCGAATGAGTCCTGCTTGTGATTCTGCAAGTACCTCTTCAGAAAATTATAATATTATTACATGGACTCGATGCTGTACTCCTGAAGAGATGCAGTGGTAACAGGTAAACTTTGTTTTCACATTGTTTTAAAGTTATAGTATTAGATTTTCTTTTGGGAAGATGTAAACTTGTCTAGAATTTCGTAAGGAAACCTCTCCGGCTGTATTCAAGGACAGTGTGTGCCAAAAATGAGTAAGCTGGAGCAACAAGATTGGAATCCTGTTGCTTTCGAATAAGTCCTGCCTGTGATTCTGCAAGTACCTCTTCAGAAAATTATACTATTATTACATGGACTCCATGCTGTACCTCCTGAAGAGATGCAGTGGTAATAGGTAAACTTTGTTTTCACATTGTTTTAGAGTTATAGTGTCTTATTTAATTTGATACAATTTTCTCTAAAGTGAATAGTTGAAACATGTGAACAAAATAATAATATACTAGAAAACTTATTACATATCTTTATGTTCTTTTACTGTATAAATAGTTTTTATGATATTTTAATATAATATTTGTTACTTCATACTTATATATTTTGAAGTAAAATAGCTTTTAATTGAAAAATTTAACTTTACATATATTTTGTTCCTATTTATTCTATATGGCATGTTTCTTTTTTAAAATCTACCATATTTTAGGTTTCCTATTGATGTTTTCACTCTATTTATTTTGTAAAATATGGAGACAATAGTAGCATACATTTTAAAAATATTTCCGGAAAGATACAAGGTGAGTTAAATATATTTTTACATTAAAATTGTAGATTTTAAATGGATGCTGTATTTTTTTCTCAGTACATTTGTTATTTCACTCCCAATCTAAAAATACCATAACATCATAGTTTTATAACTAAGTAGTAGTTTTTGAAATATGTTTGACCATTTTAAAAAAATCAGATGATTAAAACTCAATTTCTTAAAATTGAGTTTTAATCATTTGCTGGTGATGCTAATATAGTGTGTAAAAGTAAACTGTTTTGGTGTATTTTTATGGTGAATTAGTGTTTTATTTTGCTGTTGTAACACCAAAAGTTCCAACCCCCAACAATAATATAGAAAGTATTTATCAAAACATAATATGAAATAAAATCTGTGTTTATTTATGATATAAGATAGAGGATGTTTCATTTGAAATAGTACAGAATACCTAATACATCTAGTTTTGACACCCTGTATATACAGCTAGAGCTTAAGCAAATTAGCATATATTTTGTATAACTAGTTTTGAACAAGATCTCAAAAAGTTTTTCTTGAAAAGTGTCAATTATTTGCAATGTTACAACTTCAAAAGGGTTTTAAATGGGGTAGAAGATTTAATCTTTAAATATGGTCATATTTCAAAAACACTCAGTATAGTGTATGGTATTTATGGAATAGGAACTTTCATGGCAAATCTCCACGCAGGGAAAAATACATTTCATTTAAAATCTATGACCTTGCTGTAAAGATATATTTGAATTGCCCTGTATATCTATAAAATTTTTATATTAAATTACACTTAATAAGAAAAATTATATGTATATTGTCAAAAATATTTGAGTGAAAATATCAAACAAAAACCGGATACCTATGGCGCGCTCTTTCTGAACACTGGATCACCCTGTATAAATATATTTTTATTTTTTTCAGAGATATTCGCAAGTTACTGGAAATATGAATATCCGGTATACATCAGAAAGAAAATTCTATTGAAAAATCAACGGGCAATCCAAGAATCCAAGGACTTATGTTATTTGTGCTGTATATTGTGTCTAACAATACATTTATAATTAATTGTGTTAATATTGTAGTTATAAACCATTCTTTTTCTAATAAATCTTATTAAAGTTTTAATGGACTTTCCTTTGAATAGTATTTATTTAAAGAAATTAATTTAAAACAAGGCACCTAATATTAAATATTGGTGTATTACTGGTTGTCAAAACAAACAAAAATTAAAATATAAATTCAGTAAACATTTTTAATCTATGATTAATCCAGTTGCCTTTAATATTAGTACATTAATTTAATAACATATGAACTCATTCATAGTCTATAACCTATAACCATGTGATATTCTATAAAGATTTGATTTCTTTTACTTCAAACCTTTTAAAACAATCAAATCTAGTACCAAACAGGTGCATTTTTAAAAATTTTTTTGTCATGCGAATTAAATCGGAAATGGTTGGCCAACGAGCTCGAACAGTTAGACTCATTTACAAAAAAGTTAATTACTCAAAAACTAATTAAGATATCGGGGCGCGCTTGGTGCCATTCGATAGGGAATTCAACCCTCTATCTGTACACAAAATTACAACCCCCTACGACATACTTTATTTTTTGGAGCAAAAATGAGCAAAGGGGTTGTTAACCTTAGAAAATTTTTGGCCTAAAAAATAAAGGGTGTTGTAGGGGGTTGGAATTTTGTGTACAGATAGAGGGTTGAATTCTCTATCGAATGGCGCTAAGCGCGCCCCGATATCTCTTTTAATTACGGAGTTATTAGCGTTTTAATTTCGAAAACGAGGTCAAAGTCTTAGAGTCAACAAAATTCAGCGTTTCTCTGCAGTGTTAAAAATTTGTTCGAGGTGTTGAAAAATTTCGCACGGGGCAACCAAATTAATGCATTTTTGTCATCAAAAATTTTATTTTGAACAGGAAGAAGATATACTTTTCAGAATGATATTTCTTAACTCTATTGTATTTTTAGTTTGCCATTATATATTTTTTAGGTTGCTAATTTATTTTTCATTGTTAAATTTAATAAGAGTTTTAAGAGTATATATGTTTTTCCCTTAATAATTGTTATATTTTAGTAAATAAGGAATTTTGCTATCAATAAAACACATGTTTAATAAGTATGTTAAAATATTTATTAAAAAATATTATAAATGTTTGCCATATCAAATGGAAAATAATTGCTATATGTTGTTATATTTTATTTATATTCTATTCAAATAATACACAATAATAAGTGTTCATAAGATTTATAAAGTTATATGATTTTTTTTACACTAGTACCGTATGATCGAATAAAAACGGCGTCAGCGATGGCTATGAAATGACGATCGATGACAATTCCCATATAAAATGACAGTGATCTTCATTTCATAGCCATAGCTGACGCGGATTTTATTCGGTCATGCGGTATCGAAAAAAACCGGCGTCCAGTTGGCTTGGAAATGACGATCCCATATAATTTTACATATAAAATGACAGCAGCCTTCATTTCATAGCCATCGATGACGCGGTTTTTTTTCGATCATATTGTCTATTGCCGCGTTAAAGAAAAAAACTGAACTACAATTTGAGATAGATACAAAGCGTACTAAAAATATTATTTGGCATTTACCAGCTAAATAAATCTGACATATAAAAGTACCTTATTTGGAAATATAAACAAGGAAGATCTTATCTTGTTCAACACATTAGATAAGAGATATATTATTTAGTAACAGGGCAGTATATGTATACATGTCATAATTTTTACCTAATTAAAAGAAATGACTAAAACATGTTCTTAGACTCGGTTTTTTTACAAATATAAATTAATTTAATAGAACTTATTAACTAAAAATACCTACAGTTAAAATATAATTGTTATTTTTTCTGTTATCATAGATTACCAGTTTCGTTTATATTAAATTCTATTAATAGTAATATAAAAAGTATATATTATAAAATCCAATGTGTTGGCAGACATCCTTATGTCTATGTGTAACTTCTAGCCTTCTGGAAAGTATTGATTCTGTAATAAAAGTATAAATAATTAATTTTTTGATAACTAACAAGCTAACAAAAAACCACTCTACCACTTTATATAACTATTTAATTTATAGTGTACATAAAATATTATAAGACACATAGAAATTTTCGTAACATAAAGATTTTTTTTAATAGTAATACATACAAGGAAAAAACATAGCTAATTGTATCTGTAATTGGAGAAATATTTTAATTATAAAAAATAAAAGCCAGTTAAAAAACTAAATTAAACAAATGAAACTATATAAAACAAACATGTCAATTTTTGATGTATTTTTAGTTGCCTGTACCTAAGTAAATAGCGCGCCAAAAGATTTCATTTGAAAGTTATTATTTATATCTAAATAAATTTTACAAAATACAATAATATTATATATTTATTAAATATATTCGACTTAAAAACACACTTTTTAGTAAATTTTACCTAAAATTATTCAGTTTCCTCTTGAATTGATGAATTCTATTCTCACTCCGCTGTTGAATGTTAAATTTAGTTAATCTAATGGCATCTTGAAGAGGGTGGTTCCATAGCAGTACAACATCCCAGATAAAAATTCAATTTTAAAAAGAATGAAAAACGAATCAACAAGAAAAATTAATCAAATATACAAAATTATATGCAACATCAATATAAATGAAATCAAAGACTTGAAAGTCTTAGAAGAATAGCAGTGTAAAATAAACAATAATACAAATAAAAGAACCAATAACTCAGAAGAATGAAAACTCAGAAATACTTAAAATAATAAAAGTTTTCATAGAATGAAGATAATATGGGAGACAAATAAAGAAATATGTATGTGGAATTGAAAAAAATGTATACAAATATATATAAATATATATATATATATATATATATATATATATATATATATATATATATATATATATATATATATATATATATATATATATATATATATATATATATATATATATATATATATATATATATATATATGTTTTTTTTATATATATAAAAATGTATAAAAAAACTTATAGAAATACAGACAATGGACGAGTTTATAGAATTGATAAATGATGGCATTCCCATAATGAAGAAAATATGGAAAACAAATAGTGAAAAAGATATGATGAATTGAAAAAAAATGGCAGGAAAATAGAGGATAAATTAGGGAAAATGGTATGAAAATAAATATACATATATACAGGGTGTTTCAAAACAAATGCGAAAAACTTGAGGGGGTGATTCCTTGTTCAAAATAAAGGGTAGTTTGCTCTATAAACGTTGGGTCAAAAGTCAACCATTAGGGAGATATCGTGGTACAAAGATGGCGGAAAAATAATGTTTTTATTTTTTATCTTGAAAACGAAAAGAGATAGGCTAATGAAATTTTATGGAAGCATTACTGTTATGAAAACACACTTTCAGGTAATTTTTTTACTTTTTAAAATGAGTGGAAGGGGTTGAAATAAACTACCCTATCATTCTTGTTAACGAAATTTAAAGAAAAAATCTTATCAAACACATGCAAATGCTTTAATTTGGATAGTTTAGTTTGTTTAGAAACTTTTTACCTCTTGTGTTTTTGATAAAACTCACCGATTGGAAATTAAAAATAAAATGTAAAGCATTACATGTCAGGACAAAAAACTTTTAGATTAAGAATCTAGTGATAATAACGATAATAATAATCATCTAGATAATAACGTATTGCAGTAGAGTAATGTCAAATAAAATAATATTAGGAACATCCTAAAAGTAACAGCGGCTGACTAGATTTTCCTAAAAAATTACAGCAGCCCACTACATTCTTTATCAGAAAATGTTTTTGTCCTGACATGTAATGCTTTACATTTTATTTCTTAATTTCAAATCGGTGAGTTTTATCAAAAAATACAACAGATAAAAAGTTTCTAAACAAACTAAACTATCCAAATTATTTTTTGCATGTGTTTGATAAGATTTTTCTTTAAATTTCGTTAACAAGAATGATAGGGTAGTTTATTTCAACCCCTTCCACTCATTTTAAAAAAGTTAAAAAAATTACCAGAAAGTGTGTTTTCATAACAGTAATGCTTCCATAAAATTTTATTAGTCTATCTCTTTTCGTTTTCAAGATAAAAAATAAAAACATTATTTTTCCGCCATCTTTGTACCGCAATATCTCCCTAATGGTTGACTTTTGACCCAACGTTTATGAAGCAAACTACCCTTTATTTTGAACAAGGATCACCCCCTGAAGTTTTTCGCATTTGTTTTGAAACACCCTTTATAAAAGACAGTCATTGGAAGAGTGTAATATATAGAATTGATGAATGATATTCCAATAATAAAGAAAATATAGCAGACAAAAAATAGAGAGGTAGGAAAATAGCATGAAAAGAAAATATGGCAGACAAAAATTGTATAACAGAAGTAGGCCAAAAGCAAGAGAAAAAATAAAGCAGTATGTGGTCAATAAAACTGGAAAATTAACTGAAGATTATGCTTAGCCTCCTCTCAGAAATATCTAGTCAAAATACGACATCAAGCACACAAAGAAAAAATCCTCCTTCATCAGATTTAACCCTTGGACGACGATTAAGCGTCACCAGCCAGTTCCCATCCCAGCTAAGCAGCCTCGTCTCGGGTCACCCTCGTCACCCATCGAGCGGACATCCACCGGGACCCCCCTCATCATCTTCAACCACAAACATGAAGTAAAATTCTAAGTATATACTACATTTTACCAAACAAATAAGACCTATAGGAATGAAGTCAAAGGAGTATTTTATAAAATTGATAAAAATTATGATTTAATTCTCCACAGATACAAATATACAAGTCAAGCTATTATTCGAAAATAAAATATAAGAGTCAAGCTATTATTCAAAAATAAAAGTAAACCAAAAACAACATGAAGTAAAATTCTATGCAGATAGTATTCTACCAAAAAGAAAGTGACCAAAGTCCAAACATTGGCTCAAATTAAAAATTGGTGGGCGAATTTAAAAATTATGAAATCCACTGACGTACGTTAAATAGCAGTAAAAATATACTTACCCAAAAGAAATAAAATTTTAGATATACTAGTACTGATGCATTGTTTGTAATATTCATCAAAAGGATAATTATTGCACTGCCCTGGAACTGTATACATCCAATGATTTTGTTGTACAAAAGCTCTAAAAAAAGAAATAAATAATATTACATTTTATTAATTTGGTATGCTATAATATTTGTTTTTTTTTTTGTTTCATATTAATATAAATACATATATTTATATTGAAAAATATCATTCTGTTAAAATTAATAAATTTTTAAAATTGTTTTTAATAATAAAATAAACTTACTTTTAATCAGATAATGCAAAACCAATTGTAAACCATAATAAAGGCCAAACATCAAAATTATATAAGGGGTATGAAAGCCTCCGTAATATGGGGTTATTTCTTTAAGGTCTCTTTATTCAGGTGGTCTTTATGCGCTGGGTGTGCCATATTAATAACATTTCTATAAAAGAAAATTATTATTAAAGCATATTATATTAAAACAATGCAAAATTTAAATTCTAAAAGACGTAGAAGAATACCGATTGCCTATAGTAAAAAACACCTAAAAAATTATGTTTATGTTTAGGAATAAAAAACATCTTTAACTAACTTCTACCAAAAAAAAATGGACAAGAAAATCCCAAATATTTCTAAATATAAAATAATATTCCAAGTAACTTTATTTTTATTGTGCAATAGAGACATCAAGGAATGTATCTATATTTCCTTAACTCGATTTTATAATTTTAATTAAAGAAAATTATGAAAATTAGAAAAATATATAAGCTCTTAATGATGATGTAATTGAAATATTTTAAAGTGAGAAATTTCTACAGATAACAAGCAATAGTGACTACTTACACTTTCAGAAGAATAAACGGGCCTTAAGGAACAAAATAAATTCAAATAATGCTCAGAAAAATCACTTTTTCTATAAAAAAATCAGAAAAATATTAAAAGCGACATAACCACTTGCTGTTAACAACGGAAAATCTCGTACCTCGTACGTCAACGTTGTCAGTTGTCAGATTGAACACATCTAAAACAAAATAGTAATTTTTTGCTGCATAAATAATACTGCGCCTAAAAGAAAATATATTATTTATTCTACTGAAATAAAGTTTGTATTATATGTTTATTAGATTTATCATTGTTTTGTAACGGTTCAATTCATTTTATATTTACAAAAATACTGACTTAGATTAGTTTCAGGATTTCGCTAAAATCTTGGCAACATTGGAAACACTTTGGTTCAAAATTTTGTCACGTTTTCCACCATTTTTCCACCAACCACAATGGCGCCACTTCTTCTTTTTCGTATTTCAGGTCTTAAAAGAACAGTATCCACAGAATAAAAATAGTGTTCTTCTTCTTTTTTATATTTATGGTTCGAAACATGGCTAACCATAGATTGGATATAGGATATACAAGGATATAGGTTTCCTCTTCTTTCCTTTTAAATGACTTGAACTCATCTGGGTCATTTGACCAGAAAGGCTTGTAGCTCTGTGGCACAACAACGGAAAAAATATTCTGTGGTCTGTGGTTCATTTTAGCTGTCAAAATAGGGCACATAAATTTTGTTATTTTGTTTTTTTAATAATTTAGGGGCTATAATAACATAATGCCCGATCAAGGAAAACGAAATATTATCGAACAGTTCTTTGCTAATGTAGGTAGTATTTTAGACGGCCCTTCGACGTGGTTAAAGGGTAAATTTGAATGCACTTAACCTCAGTATCAGTTATATAAGATATCGTTATGTTCTTTTTTAGAAAAAGTTATTGCACCTAATCAAAAAGACTATCCTTGGTACCATAAGAAATTTCGCAGAGTTCCTACAATCGATGAGTGTTATACCGACGATGTAGTGTGTTTTTATGAAGCCAACTCACAATATGAACGAGACAAGTACAACAAATTAAAGTGTTCTAATTTTTAAATGATTTTGTTAATTTAATTATTTCTTAGGAAGGTAGATAATGAAGTAGTTTCGATTCTGCGTGAACGCTTTGAACATTGCGTATTGTTTGAACGTCCCGACCATGTTGAGAAATGTACCGGCATACTCCAAGAATATGAAGATGCCTTGACTAATTTGTTTATAAAATGTACGACTTTATAACTGTTTTTGCTCATAATAGTGAATTTTAAACTTTTAGATGGTGACTTGGGAGCCTTTCAGGATGTTAAGAAAGCTTATATGAAGCAGAAGCACAGAATGATTTGGGAACGTAGACATGGACCTGTGGGATCGGGAATGAAAAATAATTCACAGTCAGAAGATTAAGTATATAATATAAATTGTTTGAAATAGTACCGTTTAGACTTCTGAACTTGTATATTAGTACACAGTTTTAAATATATTATTGATATAGTCCTTCTGATGTCACTTTTTTCACAACAGCAGTCAAAAATAAGATAGTACAAGTAAATGACTGCATATTTATATTTTATTTTGAGAATTTATATCTAAACTTATTTTAAATTGTGGCATAATTGTATTTGTTAAAAGCTATCAATAAATCGTAAAATGAAATATCTAGGAAAATTTTTGTCTGAGGGTTAGGCAACCTTAATAGTATTTTGAAGAGAGGTGTTCCATTTTAGAGTAACTTGCTTTTAAAAGCGGCCAATGTTTAATATTCATTTGGTCTCACCCTGTAGAACTTTTCGGGTCTAGTTTTAATTGGATTTAAAGTAGAATGGTTATTTTAACTGCATTTAGGTAGCTTTTATTGAAATTAAAATATATTCTTCATTTTTAGAAAACGTTACATATGACAAAAACCTTACATAATATGTATTTCTAATGAAACTCACCTTTATTTTTTCCTAAAATCCAAAAATCAATTAAAATATAGCTTTATCCAATACAAAGAACACAACTTTGGTGAGTAAGTTTTTCGGGACCATGTAGAACTGTAGTAATTTTAAAAAATGCTTTAAATTAAGTTATATGCTCATAAAACTGGCGTTCTCCTTGCGGCGTCCGCGTCGTATGAGCGCCACCCTGTAAGCAGATAGATACTGATTAACAATGACTAATTTGAAACATTTATTTATTGAAAATATTAATATTACATCCACAATCTTTTTGGCAAATACTATTACGATCTATTTTAAGTACAGATATATAGTTATGCCTAAACTCTACACGAATTTGTCACAAATAAAAATATTATAAAAATAAGTTATATAAAATTGTAAAAGGCTGGCATATTACAGAAAGAAATGATGCTTCATAATTACATCACAATTTAAATTAATCTTACACAATTAATTTTACAAAACATGACTATAAAAGTTGATATCATATAAAGGCCCTTTGGGGAGAACACAATAAAAATAAATAACCTAACAATTGAGAAATATATGATATCAACTTTTTTCACAAACATTTAAAATCAACTTTTACAAAATATTCACAATTATTTTAAAAGGAATGTAAATGAGGACAAGGTCTTTTTATTTCAAACTAGATGCTACTTAAATTTAAAATATAGCATTAAATACAGCAATAAAGAGGTAAAGAAGGGTAAACACTTCATTTCATAACAGAAAACGAATAAGAGGAATCTTAAGCCATAAAAACAACATAATTTTCTTATATTTAGGTGATTTTTTTCAGCACTTAAAACGAGTAAATATTTTAAAATAAGAATTTATATGCTCTTTCTCACAGCCTCAGACTCTTACTTAAGAAGAATGACTTAATATGTATATACGTATCTCATCTAGCATCTCATCTAGCCTTAGAAAAAAGTAGGGTTAACAAAATTTACAACCTAACTATACAAAGACTCCTAGAAGTATTTTCATGCTGCGGACACCGGGCGACATCTATTTGAAATTTAAAAAGGTGCTGTAAAGTTTCTTTGGTACACCTGTTAAAAATATCACAGCTAAATAATATTTATTGTTTTTACAATATACTACATATTAAGTAATACTATATAATACTACCGTATGATCGAGAAAAAACGGCATCCAGTTGGCTGAGATATGACGATCGATGACATTTCCCATATAAAATGTCAGCGACCTTCATTTCATAGCCATCGCTGACGCCGTTTTTATTCGATCATACGGTATTTAATACTATATCCATATATAGTCCTTTTCGCATAAGTTAGACCACTGAATAAAAGGATTAAGGTAGGCGTATATCAAGAAAAAAACGCGACAGCGATGGGACTTCAATATGGCTGATTTAAATGAATTAGTCATAGCGTTACAATACACAATGTCACATATCGTCAGTGAAATGTGATAAACTGCTAACTCCATTATTTCTAATTTTACAGGAGAGGAAAAACGGTACAAAAAAATATGTACACAAATGTAGGGAGTATTTTCATGCGTTAATATGATAAAGAGATAAGAATTTTATTTGCTGGGGAACAATTAATCTCAATATTTCCTGTTATATAATTTTTTTCAGACACAATAGGGAGATAGCAGATATTCGTCTTGTAGAAATAAGAAATAAAAATATACTTCTGGAGATAGCAACCTTTATTGTTTGAAATTTTGAAAATGGAATTGAATATTAGCCAAACAGGTTTAGAAATAATGAATTAAATTTAAAAAATATGATATTCATAACCATATATTTAGAATATCGACGGTCTAGAAGCAAAACATACAAGTCCAAAAACGAATAAATTTTTAATGCATTTTTAAAGAACTGAAGTAGCAGCATTTTGGACTTAATGAATATGAAAATTATTTAAAAATTAAACTTATAGTTCTTAAAGATATGGTAGAATCCTTCCATGCTTATCCAAATTTTTATACAACGGTAGTAGACCGAGCTTGTAAAACAGTGCGTAATTTTTTTTATTACTTTTCTCCTTATTTTTTTAATTTTTATAAAAATTGTGTATCATTTACATGGAAAAACGTTGAAAAAAAAACTGATTAGGTATTATGGAAATTCTTGTACAACTAAGTAATGTTTTTTAAACTATTTATAGCACGCCGATGAATTGCTCGTATATAGAGAATTTCATTTTTCCCTTTACCCTTTGCGGATACCCCGTATTAACAGAACGGATCAACGCAGGGTCGGACTGGCCATATTATACAGGGTTGTTCACCACATACGACACGGAGTATTGTAGCTAAACGACTAGATTTTTACAAATTGTTAAGTTTTGGATTCGTTGAAGGACTATTAGAGCTACAATTTAAAAATATTTTTACATGATACAGAGTGTCCCAAATAAATAAAAAATATCAAAGTTGTATTTTTTTAAATGGAACACCCTATATATTATTACATTTTTAGTTTCTACGATTAAAATAAAGGTAAATTTGATTAAGGTTTATCACACACCGTTTTTGGAATATTTTCAATTTTATGAAATTACAGTAAAAATTTTAAGGCTTTATTTCTCCGAGGGTATCGAAGTTTTTAATACTAAATATTTGCTGAAGTTTATTTATTGATCAGTTATTGTGTTGCAATAATAAAAACTTTACTACCTTATACAGAGTGTCTAAAAATTTATTTTAAATAATTACTAGCTTTAAACGGCCAATAACTTGTTTAATTTAAATAGAACACCCTATATATTTTATGAGAATCAGATGTACAATTTAATTGTCTATCAAATTGTATTATACCATTTTTTACCTATCTCTTCAAGTTTCCGTAGAAAATGCATTTTCTTGTAATTTAGAACTCATTTATCGATATACCCATGGAATACTGACATTTTAGATTATTTTTAAAGATGTACCAAATTTTTAAAGAGTACAGATACTAATATTGTCGATATAGTTCGTTTATTTCATTAAAAAAATAAAAAAAAAACTGTTTAAATATTTGTTAAAGATGACCAATTAATATGATTCCAGTATTCAAACTACATGAACTGACTGTTTGCATTGATTAATAATAATTGCTCCAAATACTAAAAAACTGAATTTTGTATGGGTATTAGACAGTGTGATAAAAAATAACACCTTAAAAATGATATTTCATTTTTTAATAAATGCTTATTTATAACAACAGACTTTAATTGTGATAACTTATTATTATATTGATTTCTGACTCAAATCCACATTTATTTAGAATAATTTATTAACGAACACAATTAAGTATGTAGTTAATTAGTATTTGGGCGGAAATACTGGTGGTATATTTAATTAATGGTATACTCTTTTATAAAGATTTAAATAGTTTTCTTTTTACAAATGGTTACTAATATTATCGTTTACTAAAACGATAATATTACTAGCCTGTACATTTTGTACATTTGTTGTTTTAAAAACAATCTAAAATGTCAATATTCCATGGATATATTGATAAATGAGGTCTAAATTATAAGAAAATGCATTTTCTACGAAAACTTGAAGGAATAGGTAAGAAGTGGTATAATACAATTTGATAGACAATTAAATTGTGCATCTGATTCTCATAAAATATACAGGGTCTTCTATTTAAATTAAATAAGTTATTGCCGTTTAAAGCTAGTAATTATTTAAAATAAATTTTTAGACACTCTGTATAAGGCAGTATAATTTTTATTATTGCAATACAATAATTGATCAATAAATAAACTTCAGTAAATATTTAGTATTAAAAATTTTGATATCCTCGGAGAAATGAAGCCTTAAAATTTATACTGCAATTTCGCAAAATTGAAAATATTTCAAAAACGGTAAGGTTTAAGTGTAATAAACCTTAATCAAATTTACCTTTATTTTAATCGTAGAAACTAAAAATGCAATAATATACAGGGTGTTCCATTTAAAAAAATACAACTTTGATATTTTTTATTTATTTGGGACACTCTGTATCTTGTAAAAATATGTTTAAATTGTAGCTCTAATAGTCCTTCAACGAACCCTAAACTTACAATTTGTAAAAATATCATCGTTTAGCTACAATACTCCGTGTCGTATGTGGTGAACAACCCTGTATATATAACTATTAGAGGGGCCCCAGCCTTCGCGGACCCCCTTTATAGTTCATTATTTATTCTTAACAATATTTGCATTGCATTGGTTTACCTTGCATTAGGGTAGTTTCCTGATTTCTATACAGGGCGAGTCTTAAATAAGTGCAAATATTTTCAGGGCTGGTAAATCTCGAAAAAAAAAACATATTTTCTCTTTACCGTTTTTTTCAAATAAATCCAAAACAACCGAGTTATTTCACTTTTAAAATTTCCAATTTTTTGCGAATCAGGATTATCTTTCTTGTAAATTTAATCTACTACCTATATTGCCATATTACAAAGTATGTTTTTAAACTAAAAATTTTAAAAAAAATCCAAATTTTCAAAAAAAAAATTTCGCGTAAAAAACCTCATAATCGTGTTTCATGGGTCGAAATATACTACTTCTAAAAATATTTGCACTTGTTTAAGACTCGCCCTGTATATAATAGGGAAAAATTGACCAAAACGTAAGGCGATAGTGCGCCCCTGGCCTAGTGCGACCCTGGATCGATGTACTGTACTAAAGAAACATACGAATAAGAAATGTTTGCTTTAGCGTGATCGTAACGGAAATTACGGAGATAGCAGCATTTCGGTGGCTATTTCAGATCACTTGGAGTATTTTCTTTAATGGGAAAAAATGTATTTTCTTTCCCTACTTATAGAGTATTTTTTTCTCTTTCTAATGGTATTAAAAAACTTATTAACGTAAAAAATGGAGTTAGCAGGTTATCACGTTTCACTGACGATATCAACACTAGGAAAAGTTACACGAAAAAGAACTATATACAGGGCGTAAACTAATAGTGTTTACTATACCTTGATTATCAGAAGAGGAAGATTCAAATTCGTAATCTGACGGGGAATTATCCAATTTGATATTAACTCCAGAGTCGGCACTATCATCGGACATTCCTTCTGTTTATAAACAAAGTTTGAATACATTATTATTTCATAATTTATTGGCATTTACAGAGAGATCAGTAAAGATAAAGACTTATAAAAATTACATTGGGCTGGCTATAGCCAATTGAATTCCAATATCACTACATTAAATTGAGATGAAAAAAACATCTCTGGACTGTAAAGGAGAGGAAAGAGATAGCAACAACTTACTGTAACTTAGTATCTAACTGATCATGTTATATTTATTATAAAAATTATGAAAAACTTACCTTTGAGTAAATTTTTACGTAATAACTTATCAGGCAATGGTAGTTCTGCTGGCTCGGGCGGTACCATCAAGGTCTTGGGTGAATTCCAAGGGTTGGATGTTAAATAACGGGCAGGTGAGACTAGATGTTCCGTGTTGCCTATCAAGGTAGGGTTCAGTGAGATAGGAACGCTCACAGAAAAACTCTATAAAAAAATTTGTTATAAAAAAACAATATTATTTTATTTTTTGATCATTGAATCATACCATAGAGCCTTCATATTTGGAAGGGGTGCTCCATATTGAGCCTGAACCCTGAAAATAATAAAAAAATATATGTAATTCAAGCTGGAATCTTTGGGTGGAAGTTTTTGGTAGTTAACAGAGTAAATTTGGAGTCCAGAAATACATTTTTTCCCCAAAAAGAGTTGAAAATGTTATTTTTCTTCAAATTTCCTTGTATTCTATCGCTGGACGGACTATAGATATAAAAGTTAACGAATTTAGAAGAGAACAAGCAGTAATATATTTTAGAATAGACTTACGAACGTTTTAGAATAGACTTGCCAGTGTTTAGAAATGTTTCTGTGTTTAGAATGGACTTATCAAAGTTTAGAATTTTTAGTAATACTTAAGAAAAGACTTACTGGTATTTAGAATAGACTTACCGTGTTTTAGTACGGACTTGTCAAAGTTTAAATAATATTTATCAAGGTTTTAGAAAAAAAACTTTTTAGAATAGACGCGTATTCTTTTAGAATAGATTACCGACGTTTTAGAATAGACTTACCTGGTTTTAGTACAGACTTGCCAAAGTTTAGACTAGACTTATCGAAGATTTAGAAGAAAACGTGTGGTGTTTTACATTAGACGCGTTTTAGAATAGACTTACCGACGTTTTAGAATATACCTGCCAGTGTTTAGAACACTTATCTGTATTTAGAATAGACTTAACGGCTTGCCAAAGTATCTGTATTTAGAATAGACTTAACGGCTTGCCAAAGTTTAGACTAGACTTATCAACGATTTATAAAAAAATAAACTTGTGGTATTTTAGATTAGACTTGCGGATTTATTTAGAATAGACTTACCGGCGTTGGAGGAGTATCAGGCTTGGGAGGTGAATACTTCTTTTTCGCTCCTTGACACGCGTCGTTTTGCGATGATCCTCCACCAGGGACACACCAATGATTCTGTCTTTCCATGTCATCAGAAGCTTCTGTTGCTAAATTACAATCCATCTGGTTCATCGTTAATGGCGTTAGTTGTTCTGTAATAATAAAAATACTTATAATTTTTTTTATTATCTCAAAAATTCTATTCTTACCTTGAAGGTTCCTATTCAACACGACCACGCTTTTCTTCTTGTTGCTCCTGATAAAAAATATCGAACTGAAATAGTTGAACAGCTCGTTGGGCGAGTTGATATTGAAGTTCGACAGTTTTATCGGCTTGTTGTAGTGTTCCATGTAGAGTTTCTCCAGTTGGGAGAACAGGACGGAACCCCCGTTGGTACAGATCACGTAGTATAGTTGAGCGGCGAGGACGTAGAGGGCGGTTAGCGATATGAATTCCATGTTGTTCATTGAAGATATCTAGAAGGGAATAAACATATACTTCGTGAAACATTACTTCATAAAACTCAAATAAATTCAAAATTAAAAATACTTACTGTAACTACGTTAGAGATATCTCTGATGGCATCCATTGAGAAACTGCTGTTGTAACTGCACTGGTATTCGTATTTGAAGGTGTTGAAGTCCTTGACGTGTGGAGGGTTGAGCAACAGAGCCCAACTCCTAACCCTCAGAATATCGGGAAGCATATCCATGTCGATTGGACGAAGCAATGACCCACCATTGCTATGGATTACCTGGAGTATTGGTATTGGAGAAGAAAAAATAAATCAATCCCTAGTGAACGCTTGATTGAATCAGTTGGCTATACTGATTTTGCTTCTTTGGTTGGCAATAGCGTCAAAACAACCCAAAAATTAAATATATTTAGATAATACATAAAGTAAAATCACGATCGCAAACCGCTTATTTTTAAAAGACTTTTTTTTCAAGAGATAACTAGATAAAATCATCAGGTTTGTAATGTTTCTGAGCATCTGAAATGGAATTATAAGGATATCGTTAGGGTGTCATTTTTTTATAACGAGAAAACGTCAGTAATCGCGATAATTTAAACACTGAACTTTTTAACACATAACAGGCCATAACTCAAGAACCACTTTAGATATTGAAACTTTTTTTATTTTTAAGATCGGATATTTTACAATATGTTTACATAAGAAAAATTCGATAAGGTTGTTTTTTCCATTCAAAAATTGTAAACAATCCATCCATTTAGTTTTAGAGCATAGCAATTTTCAGCAATCGTGTAATTTTTTTATTGATAAAGATTTTCACATACTGTCTACACAGAAAATACAGCAGAAATATTAACAAAGTTCTTGAAAAAACTACAATCTATTATTTCTAATAGATTTCGAGATATCGATTAGAATCGCTATTAGAATAGCGCGACCACTATCGAACACCCACTCAATTCCACTTATTTTTACCAAAAATTCAAGTGTTTCTAGCTTGCACTTAAAAAAATTCAAGCTATAGGGAAAATGACAACGACTCGTTAATAAATAAACAAATCAAGTATCACGAGACGTAATTAAATCGTGAAGCTGAACGCATGACGTACACCTTTCCCTAGAACTTTAAGGACTCACAGAGGTATTGATTGGGTCGACCGGTCAACTGCGACAAATCTGCTATATCCCCTTCCACGTCACAGTTTCTCGGTTTATTTCATACGTTTGGCAACGTGGTTACTGTCCTCTCTTTATTCAGTACATTATAAACGCATTGTACTCTTCTTACATACGGAAATCTCGACCCAAGACTAACCTTTGCCAGCCCTTAGTCTTAGACTAGCTAGTAAGGAACAGAAATTGAAGCCAAATTTTTGAGGTGGAGCTATACAAAATCCACATAAGGCGATCCTTTTCGTTCAACAGCTTTGAACTACGTAGGCGTGAGAAGTGCTTCGCGATTAGTTGATTTATTTCATACTAACCAATAGAAGCAGTTTTCTAAGTTCCTATCTACCACCTAAATCAATTTAGCGTCTGACTATTCGCGCCTTTACTTATATATTTAAATTTAATCTCTGACATATTTAAACGAAAACAAGAAACAGATAGATATGATGAATATCTAAAATAAGAGGTTGAAATAATGCCATTACCAATAAAAAATAATATTGTTACGTTTTTCGTCGGTTCCGTGTGGATAGAAAGTCACAATTTATTTACACTAAGTAACAAACAATAACGATTAAAAGACTTAAAGAACTATATACAAACTATTTATAACTATTTATCTAGAAAGAATTGATTTTGAATTTAGCGCGACAACTGTACTCGTCTATTTATTTCTGTGCTCCTCAGGCTCCAACCGTCGGATTTTATACCCACAGCTAAAGAGTTCTCGAATAATCCATAGATCATTAGGTGCATAGAGAAGGTTTCGAATGTTCTCGTATGTACTACTCCATCCCAGTGGAACTCGATTGTTCTCGAACGTTCGAATGAATCATTACGGTGTCCATTCTTTAATGCGATATTACGGTCATCTGGGGGCGGGACATATAGTTAGGTTAGTCGAGTCCACACGGGTCAACAATATATTATACATAAAATAGAAGAAATCAAAAACAGTTCACGATCGAAGGTAAACAGATTATAAAACATTACTTATACAGGTTGTTAATTTGTTTATTACTCGCGGCAAGAGCTTTATGGTTGAAATATGGCAACCTCGGCCCGCTCGTCGATAGACGACGCGACGGGACGAGTCGGCAGAAAACCCTATAAGTGCATGCGTTCTCAATAGGCAGTGTTGCCATTCTGTTCCCTTATAAGTAACTGTCCAGTTAACAATCTGTATACTTACTTGTTAAAAATATAATATATAAACGTGTGAATAGCTAAATTTATTTATATTACCCAATAAATTTTAAAACCCTTGAGAAAACAAATCCCCGATTTCCGAAATATCGAAGTATCGATATCGATGTTTTTCATCGATTACCATCCCTATACCTACAACACTTTTGATCAGTAAATTACCTGAACATAGTCCGAGAGTTTTTCCACCACTTCAACTATAGTTTCACACTGGTAGACTTGAGGATTCAGAGGATAATTGTATTCTTTGAAATAAAACATGGGAAAGTCATCCACTCTTAAGCTGCCCCCTCCTGGACCTTTAATGAGCTGGATAACCTGCGATCCCAAGATTTTCAGCGATTGGTCCAGAGTTAGGCAGACAATACGCTCACCATCGGGCAGTTCTTTTATCTGATCAACGCCAAAAGAAGAAATAAATATTTTTTAAACAAATCAACAGGTAGAGAACACAAAATGATGTTATGGCGGGACAAAGACTTTCACAAAGACTATAAAATAACATGAATACCGTTTCAGTTTCAGAGAAATAAGTGAACATAGAGGTTAGATCGTTATGAATGTGCCAGAGATATAGGGATGCGGAAAATAAGCATTCTCAAAAGTGGCTCACCCATATAACTTTTTTTATTTTTTCAGATAAAAAAAAACGAAATTTGGTATATTAGTATATGACGTAAATTAGGATTGATTGACGTATTCACTTGTTTTCGGTCACTTCCTGTTTAACCGGAAATGACTACAGCTTTTGATTCTTAAATGGCATCCTCGGTGTTTTTTTACTTTATTCCATAGAAAACGAGACTCTAGGTAGAATGACATATCATATGCCAATTTTTGACAGTTTCGTCGAAAAAAAATCGTATTTTAAATTTCAATCTAGAGTGCCATGGCTGTGTTAAAAACACTAATTTTTAATCCAGGAGTCTTGGAAAAATAGATTTGATTGTCTAATGTTTTTCGTGTCTTGTTCTGACCGTTTAAAAGATACCCAAATCGTATTTTTAATCATATCTCAATTCTTTCAAATGGAACGAGGGTAGCTCATTAGCATATTTGGAAAAAGCATTTTTTTATGAATAATTTGGTACCACACACTTGGTATTTCGAGTCAAATTGTCGTTATGAACCGCATGTTACAATTTCAAATAAGATTTTCTTCTAGTGCAGTGGCGAAAAGATTTTTGGACGCGCACTTATTGAAACTCAGTGGCGTGCAGTCTTAATGAGATCAGGATAGGCAAATATTTGTATAATAATAAAATAAAAATAGCATAAGTAATTATTATAATTTTTTTTCTCTAAATTTTGGGAAATTTGGGTAATATTTGTTGGATTATTAAGAGCTATAATGTAAACGCATTTTTGCCTACATTATGTGCACGCCACTGTTGAAACTCATTCTCCCTATATCCCCCTATATCTGTGGCATGTACCCATGTTAATCTATATCGTTTAGGTTTACCTCTACCACGTCTGGAATAGCTTCGAAAAGTTCGGTTAGTTTGGTAAAGCCATAATCGGAAACCTTGCATTGGTGACCAAAATGATGATGGTATGAGGGAACGAATCGGTTAAAAAGCATGGTATAGTACGGGGTGTGCCTTAATAAATCTACTACCTACAATCCAAAGAAGATTTAAAGCAAAATTGCAAAATAAATTGTTTCTCTTTAAAAATATTTTTTTTTTAAATTCAGGATGTTAATTTGTAAAAGCATATGATATACAGGGTAGTACCAAGAATAGTTAACCTAATAGGACTGCCCATTCAGCCAAAAGTGTCCGCCAGGTGCATACAAAAACTCCTCGCTTTGTGACGTCATTGTAGTCCTTGTCATGATTATTAGTCCTTATCCGGCAACCAATAATACACACACGTGCATTATTGGTTACCGGATGCAAAACGTTCATTATTTAGTTTATTTATTTAAACATCTTATATGTACGCAGTATAGAAAATTAACTGTATAAATCTTATTAAATACTTGGATAATGCATTTTTAAGAACAGCAGTTCCCAGCAGCACCTTTTGCAGGCATTCTTTTTAGAGTACTTCCATATTTTGATTTAAAATAATTAATAAACAATATCGTAGGCACTTAGTAAGCACTTTGTCACAATCCACAACACAAAATGAACGTATTTTATACACTCTATAGCTCTAAAAACTTTAAAAACACCTTTTTCACATTTAAAATTGACAAAATAATTAACTCAAAATTTCTCAGCTGTTATTTTTATAAGTTTGCCATAGGCAACTAATAATACACACTATCATGACAAGGATATCGCCAATACAATAGGTACAATGAGGTCACAACTGTCAGCTGAAGCGCGGGAAGAGGCGAACGTACGTCTTATGAGGATGAGCAATCCTATTAGTTGGGGTAGTACTGCAATCGGAAAACTTTGACGACATATTCTGCAGATAAAAATAAGTAAAAACCTTCGTATGAATTCATGTCCTTAAATGCTGCGTTTCAGAGATACAGGGTATAGAAGTTTCATTTTTATTTTAGTTTTATTCCAAATAATTATATTAATAACTAAAAATTTAAATTTCCAGCTAGAGGTCAGGTGGTAGCTCTGCTGTAAAAAGTGTCAAAATATCACATTTATTTTACTTCCTAACATTGTCATTCGTAGTGGAGTGGCGTTGTGAAAGGCGCTTATTTAGATAATATTTTAGTAAAATGTAAAATCTGAATTTTTTCTCTACATTACATTATTTACTTACTTACATGGTAAGAAAATCATAATTATAACCCTGTTAATAATTAATAATGTTTTTATTAAAAATATATTCCGGTTTATTCTAAAATTATCTTCAGAATCTAAAATAACATACAAGAATTTTAAAATGATATTACATTATGAAATAATATTTTTTAATATACCGGGTCGTCTCAAAAGTGGCTCACTCCTATAACTTTTTTCAAATAAAAAAAAACAGATTTGTATGTTAGTAGGTATATGACATAAATTAGGATTTATTGACGTATTCAATTGTTTTTGGTCTCTTCCTGTTTCACCGAAATGATTACATCTTTTGATTTTTAAAGGCACCCTCGGTATATTGCTACTTTATTCGATAAAAAATGACACTCTGAATAGAATGACATATCATATGTCAACTTTTGACATTGTCGCTTAAAAATAAATCGTATTTTAAATTTCAATCCAGGGTGCCATGGTGTTGTTAAGAACACTAAGTTTTAATCAAGGAGCCTTGGAAAAATAGCTTTGATCGTCTAATGGGTTTCGTGTCTTGTCTAGGCCGGTTAAAAGATGTACAAATCGTATTTTTAATCATACATATGTCAATTTTTTCAAATAGAACAAGGGTGACTCATTAGCATATTTGGAAAAAGCATTTTTTTATGAATATATTGATACCACACATTTCGTATTTCGAGTCAAATTGTGAAAAAAGTCTGATTTCGGTGAAACAGGAAGTGACCAAAAACAATTGAATGCGCCAATCAATCCTAATTTATGTCATATACTAACATACTAAATCTTGTTTTTTATTTGAAAATATAAAAAAATTATGGGGGATGAGCCAGTTTTGGGACGCACCCGGTATAATAAAGACAGTACCGAGTTAAATAAATGTAGTTTTCATTTTATCCACTTCCTTTCACCTTCCTTGCTTTAATGGAACAGATTTATGTTTTCTCTAATTTACATAATAAGACATCACTTAACCAGAAAAAAAATTACAACTATCATATTTTTTTTCCTCTCCCTGTCGCCGATTCTATTATATCTGTGGAATAGATCCTGTTTTAATTAATATTAGGGGCTGTAAATATTTGACTAAAATTAATAATTTATTATTAATTTCAAAAATTACGTAATTTCGATTATAAAATTTCTTCTATGACGTGTATTTTATTATTTTTATCCTTTTTGAACTCTAAACTTTTATTTAAAAAACCTGTCCTAAATCTTAATAAAATATAAAAAAGTTTAAATACGATATATTTTTAATTTAATTATAGCTTCATTAAAATAAAAAAAATTACCCGGCTATGATACGGAGAGTTCAGGTGTACTTGAAAAACGAAAGACAATGTTGTGTTTCTCGGCAGAGTCGTCAGGGAACGACCGTTACGACAGAGATAACCTATCTATCGCTCGTGTCGCACTCGTTATAACCTAAAACAATAACACAACAATAACAAGACATTGTCTGACCGCATGTTCCAGCTATTTATGAATGAGATGCTCAGTCTATATTTTATTTTAAGTCTATGGTTTTAGGACATGAATTCATACAAACTTTTTTACATATTTTTATCTGAAAAATGTGTTATCGCAGTTTCCTGATTATTTGTACTTTGAACTACGATGTATATCTTCAACACAAAGTATATTAAGCAGAATCACATAAAATAGGCTTAATTAAATAATTAAACAATACCTCCTACAATACTAAAGCCACAAAACTTACAGTCTGAAGCTTTATTTTTAAGGATGTATTGGATTTATACAGCGTGTTCCTTAATGACATGCTAATATTTAAGGAGGCGGTTCTGGGACCTATTCTAAGAAAAAAACTTTGTATGAATATATGTCCTAAACATCTTAACTTTTCAGATAGAGTCGTAAAATTTTCATTTTTTTTCAAAATATCTCTGATGTTATATTTATACACGTCTTCTATTCATCAAAATGCTCATTTTGATATACAAAAAAAATTGTTTTATTGCTTAATTTCCTTTGAGCCGATGCAGAATTGATTTCCACACAACAGTCATCGCATCAGATTTTCAGCCAGTTGACCCTGAAGTAAACTGACTTTAATTTTTTTAACCAAAAACTATGCGTTCGTTGGACGAAAAAAGTCAGGAGATAAAAAATGTTTGGAAATAAATGGAAACTTAATTTTTATTTTAAAAGAAGTCAGTGGTGTACCACTCTTTCCTCCAAAAATATTCAATGTAAAACCCGTATGAACGGCACTGGTTGAAATAAGTAAAATTCTTTGTACACCAAAAAAGGTATTTTGATACATAAAAGACGTGTATCGAGTTTCAGATATCTTTAATAAAATCAGAGTTATTATATGAAAAAGAGTTTTTTTTAGAAAACTTTACCACGACGAAATTAAGATGTTTGGGACATACATGCATACGAAGTTTTTCTCTTTTCTCACGTGTCATTAAGGAACACACTGTATATACTACATAAATGTCAAAAAATCTAACCTCATTTGCAAATTGCTTGGTCCTGACGATCTCCTCAGATGTTTGTTCCCTTTTCGGTACGGAAATGAACACGTTATTGTCAGTGGTTGATCTCGTGATCACTACGGTGGTTTCCGAGACTTCTTGCAACAGGTCGTCGAAGGTGCACAGTCCGTACTCCACCGGGTTGAATTGTTTGTTGAGCACTTTTTCGTAAGCCGCCGGAAACGCCGTAAAGGTGATTTGTTTGTTCGGTTGGACCTTCAGCACTCGCAAAAGGTCTGATGTGAAGCGACGAATTTGAGCTGAATGGGTTAAGGTGATGATTCTTCTTGTTCCATCGCCCATGATCTAGAGAAAAACGTCAAGAGTGATAGACTAAGCTTGCTTTGAATTGCCTAGAGGACTACAGTATCTAGATCGTAGTGGCACAGATTATACATATTATAAACTTTGTTTTTTCTTTATTGTTTTTCGGGGTTCCAATTTTCGGAATCGGGCACTAGTTAGGTTACTAGTTTGCGGACATAGCACGCCCACTTATGGCCTCTAAAATTGTGCACAGGGCTTGACCGGCACAGTTATTGGAGAGATATCGGAAAACCGAATAGCGTCATGCAGTATTTACGCGTACCATATCATGGTTACGATATGCGCGAGTCAATTTTTAACGCAACACCCGCTAATAACGTTACCGCCTGACGTAATTTGCGGATCAATTACACTAAGCGCTATTTCTAAATAACGTTTAAAAATTGCTTAAATGGGCATGTGCGGGTATTTGACAACCGGGGCCGGCCGGTGAGATCTTTTATTTTAGGTTATGTTTGAATTGTTTTTAATTATTACTTTAGTTTTATTAGGTAATTTGATATTTAAGTAGCTGGGATTAGTTTTAATTAAATAAATATGGCCCAAAATATGGATTCCACCTCTTCCAATATTAAAGAACCTATAAAGAGGCTTAGGTGTACAGCAGATGACGACTTAGCCCTTCTAAGAGAATTTGTTGCTTGTTGCCCTAAACCCACTGGCAGACGTTGAACAATAAAGCACTGGGAATAAGCACTTTAAACCTTTAGTTTTAAAATACCTAGTAAACAAAACAATTTCAAAGTTAGGTTAAGTTTAAATAGCGGACGCGACGCGAACAGAATTCTTTCCAATCCTATAACTATAAATGAAGAGAGTTAATACCACCAATACCACCTCACGTAAAGGAAATAACAGCTGGCCTTATTAACGTCCATGCACGCTATTCGGTTTAGCGATATATCTCTATTATTTTACGCGAGTTTATTTTTGCGCACAGGAAATTTTACTCGTTTGCACATCGTCATAAAAAACAATTTTCGTACCACGAATATATAGGATACCTAATCTGTGGTAGTATCTTCAGTTTCATAAAAATGTAGCACAGTAATGTGAAAACCGCATCTTTGTATCGCTACTGATAAACAAAGAAAAACATAAACACACGAAAATAGGACACCCTATACAAGACACAAAATTAATAATTAATAATACTTTACCTGAACTACATGAGAAATAGATTCAAACAGATCCAAGAGTTTGGTGTAACCGTAATCCGCCACTCTGCATTGACGGCCGAAATGATGATGATAAGCCGGAATGAACTTGGTTAGCAACAGCTGACACTTCTCCGTCGTTTTCAACAGATCCACCACTTCCCTGCACAGCAGGTTCACGTTGGGGACTAAAGATGGCGCTACACGGCATTGGTCGTCGGCGTTTTCACTCTGACACAGTTTTTCCTGGATGATTTTGACGTTTTTGTTCGAACCGACTAGTTTGATTTCGACGTTGGGTACGCATGTGACTAGGTGTTCTAGGGGAACACCGCTTTCTGATACAGGGAGGGATTCATGGTATTCTTGTTCGTAACATTCTTGAAAGCTGAAAGATGATGACAAAAAAATAACATACAGCGTGATACAGGCATACATTAATTATTATTCAAAGTGTGTTCCGAACTGTATTCCAGTAACTTTGGCAGCATATTCTGCAGATAAAAATAAGTAAAAATGTTCGTATAAATGTATGTCCTAAAATGCTTAGTTTCGGAGATACAGGGTGTAGAAGTTTCATTTTTATTTAGATTTTTTCCAAATAATTTCTGAGTAACATCAATATTTAGATGAAAATTGCTGTCTGGGAGTTTTTTGACATGAGATTTTTGATTTTTATCAATATGACTCCTACTTGTAGAGGGCGCCACCTACGTTGTTTTTAACTTGCTTGAATAGTAATAACTTTTCATCCGTACCTGTATAAAACTATTAAGTAAAAAAATATACACTTACGTTTTTTATGATTAATTTTAAAAAATTAAAAATTCCCAAATCTATCATTTCAGTCAAATAACTATCTACTCAACATATTTCATATCATATCATATTTCCATTCTAAATATCTTGAGAATGGTTGCTCCTAACGATTTTTACCAAGAAACATTTTTTACGTAAAAAATCACGGAAATGAATATTTTTTCACTCAGTTGTTTTATACAGGTACGGACAAAAAGTTACTACTCTTAAAAACAGTTAAAACACATGTAGGTGGCGCCCCCTATAAATAGGACTCATATTGACATCAAAATTAAATTTCTTATGTCAAAAAACTACCAGACACTAATGCCCAACCTAATATTGACGTTACTTCAGAAATTATTCGAAAAAAATCGAAATAAATATGAAACTTCTATACCCTGAATGAAACTTCTATGTCTCCGAAACTGAGCATTTTAGGACATACATTTATACGAACTTTTTTACTTATTTTTATCTGCACAATATGCTGCCGAAGCTTCCGGAATACAGTTTGGACCACCCTGTATACAGAAATCCTCTTAATTTAAATATCATCAAAGTCTTTATTTCTAGAGTGGTACATAGTTTTACAAATTATAATAAAATATAAATAGTAGTAACCTAGTTACCTAATCAGTAATATAATTCATACAAGTACGTGAATTCATAATAGATATCAATATAAATATTTAGAAAAATAGCCTTACGTAATTTGCTTAGAAAATTTACACCATCGGAATTTGACGATCACTGCAATATTTATCACATCTTATGATTTTGCAAAATTTTCAAAAAATATTTCAATAAAAAAGTTCGCTTAATTTAATTTCAATAAGGTTTATAAACCAATTTTACTCACCTTAAAAGTGGCATTGAACCCATATGCAAAGACAACAAAGCCAATAATTTGGCAGTGAACAGTGACAATGTCATCATAACGCTAGGTATATATCCAGAATTCAATTCAAAGAACCCTCTGCTTTGTAAACCTTTCGGACAATGAATTATACAGTATGGTACCATCATCTAAAAAAACACCCTCTTTTTAACCTATAAAAATAAAAATACAGACCCGGTCATCCTTAATCTGTGGTCTGGATTTTAACGTGTAAGACAATGATGGAGGTGTAGTTTGATATATTTCTTCTCTAACAGTGATTCCAGATGTTCCATTAAGAATCAAAATTACAGCTTAAATAGGTGTGTCAAATAATATTGCTGCCAATATTAGACAGGTAATATATTGAGAATTAGTTTTAATACTACAACCAACTGCCATATGGAGGATCCGGCAACACTGCATTTATTTATGTATCTGTCAAAACTACTTTTATCCTTGTCTTCTGCGTTAAATTACAGAGCAAGCATTTAGAATGACTATAGGCAGTATGTTCATGATATAAAACCTGAGATAAGTTGTTTGTAGGGTTAGTTTTTGCCTCTTGCGTTAAAGAAATCATCCTGGACCCCATTTCGTCGTAGATTTTGACAGAATCCTTCAATTTGTTCACTTCCGACACTGAGACCGTGCAGTGATACTTCAATTCTAGCTGTTCCATAAATTTGAACAATGGCATCCTTTTTTCTGGCATGTCCTAAAGTTTGTAGGTAATATTTGAAGTAAAAATTAGGTACAATGAAGTCAAAAAACACCAACACCAATTATTTTTATATTAAACAAGAAAAAATTAATTTAGCTGAAATTTTGAATGCGCGTATAAATAATTTAAAAAAAAAATGAAGAAACACATTACTAAAAATTGTATTAATCAATAATAAATATGTAAAAAGTAAAAATAAATCGTAAAAATAAAAAAAAACGATTAAATAAAAGTCGCCTTGACTAGGATTCGAACCTGCCTTACTACGGCTCCAATGTCATAGCAGCGTAAAGTCCTAACGCTTTAACCACGCGGCCATCGAGGACTTGAAAGATTCTATGTAAAATTCTTACTTAAAAGATAATGTTTAGTGAAAGTACTTTTTTATTTATAAACATTTATTTAATTCTGTTTTTAGTATTTGTTCTTATAGCGGCAACATAGATACATTATCTGTAAAAATTTCAACTGTCTAGCTATAACGGTTCATAAGATAAATCTTTGTGACAGACGGACGGACGGACAGCGAAGTCTTAGTAATAGGGTTCCCGTTTTTACCCTTTGGGTACGGAACCCTAAAAAGAAAAAAATAATTAAAAAAACTAAAAATTTTACCTGTAAAATATTGACAACCATGATCTTCAATTGATCAGGATCAGGAGAATTGTTCTGAGTATAAGATATCACGATTCTTTTGTGCCCTAATTTCTGCCTGTGTAACTGAGATATGACGTATTGCGCGTCGTGTGCGTTTAATACTCTGAGGTTGGCCACTGGTGTGCCATCGGCCTGCACTACCACGTTGAGATGTAAAATCTGAAAATTTCGAAACACTCAGTATTTTAACAGAGAAATGAGTATACAGAGGGGCGCCATTTTTCTCCTTTTTTATTTTCATGTTAGACTTGGCTTAGAAATAAAGATAGCTGTCATTTTATATGTAAAACTAGCTGACTAGAGGAGCGAGGGGATCTTTGACAGTTCTGTTTGACGATTCATTTGACACATTTGAAATTTTGCGAATTTGTCAGTCTCTACTGAGCTTATTTTATGTTATTTGTTATTTATTCTGCTACTGATAGTTGTTTAAAGGTAGTAGATCTAGAAGAAAATTGTGGTAGAACTTAAATTAACAGTAACAATATTGCGATTTATCGAAAAAGACTGTAAAATAGTTGGTTGTGTAGCGTGCGGTAGATCTCGGCAAAAATTGAGTGAAATAATGGAACAACTTTTCGCTAGTAAGTGACTATATAATATACATACGTGTAGTAAACCGATCATTTATGAAATTCACTTAAATTAACTAAATTATATATTTTTCTAGCATTTTAGCTTTTATTTATTACCTGTCAAAGATTAGATGTCAAAGAATTTAGATACGTTAATTTGACTTACCTGCTTCAGTAGCGTATCGGATGTTTGTGGTAATAAATAGTAGTGGGAACTATCGAATAAATACTATCGAAACATTCGATAGTTGCAATTCATTCGAATAATTCGATAGCTAGTAAGAAAACATTCGTCGAAAACTATTCGAATAAAAATATCGAATAGATGCGTCATCTTCCTAGAAATATATTAATTCGGCAGCAAAAACCATTCATTTATAAAATTCATTCATATGTAAAATTCATTTATTCGTCAGGATCGATTATAATAAAATATAAACTGGATTTTAGTTGTCGCCCGGCGACGTAGGTTTCTTTCCTAGAAACCCGACAGCGGTCGGTGGCAATGGTATGAAAAAAGCCGGCATCTTTGATTTTGAGTCAGATAAAGATAAGGACACATTATTTTTTTATTGAGGTGCTAGTATTTACACAGAAAATACATTATGAACGGCGCTGTTGCCGTATATTCGTATTAGTTGGTATTAGCAAAGAATATTATTCTTTGGTATTATAGTTAGTTAGGGATAGTATGACTATATATTTTGCATTTTTTATTAATATTCTGTTGTTACACTGCAATAATACTTTATATTTTGGATGTAGGAAAATGATTTTTAATGTTTTAAGCAAAACTGGTTTAATAAATAATAATAACAGTAATAATTTGTTATACCTATTAACACCAAAATTTAAAATCATTTAATATAAACATTTTTTTAAGTAGTAGCAAAATATAAACAACAAATTAGAAGTCCAAATTATTTATATTAGATCCTATTTAAAAATAATATAGTTTCTAAATTTTTTGTGTGGCAACGTTGGTTTATTAAATAATAATAATTACAGAACTAATTTGTTATATTAACAACAAATTTTAAAATCATGAAATATAAACATTTATTAATTTTTTAAGCATGCAGTGTAATAGAAGAAAAATATAAATAAAAAAATAGAAATCAAAATAATTATATATATGTGTATTACTTTTTATTACTTTGTATTAGTATTTAAAAATAATATTTGCTTTTACTGGCATTTACTTTAAAAAATAAATAAAATATTTATTCGCAAAAATCTAAATGTAAGAGAATTAGAATAAACAAAATACAAATATCGTTAACTTTTTTTTTAAATTGGCACGTGTAAAACTTTAATCAATCAATTTAATTTTCCCATCCCAAAATTTGAGTTCGATAACCATTTACTTAACCACATTACCACATTACTTAAATATGATTATTAAGTTCAACTAATTCATATTACTAAAACATCTAAAATACAAATACATATGTATTTTTAAAATTAATTGTAAGTTCACCTCATCTCTCTTAAAAGTTGTTACTTCTCAAAATTTCCCATTAAAAAAATAGACCATATACCGTATAAAATTAAGTAATTGAAAGATCGGAAAATCACACAAATTTTCAGAAAAATTTTAACCACCTGCACACGTACACAATCATCAATTTAAAAAAAAACACTACTACTTTAGTATTTTAAATATTTTAATAAACGCAAAAATAGCACAGTATTTAGAAGGCAAGTTATAAAAATTTGGAAGGACTAATGATGCACTGACGCAGACAAAAATCAAACGAATACTAAATTTCATTTATAAAAAGCATTCGATAGTCGTGGCTTAACGATAATCATTTAGTCGCACGGCGAGGTTGTCACATATGCTTTAGTATACAAATGAATGAATGATTTTATTCGAATGAAACCATTCGATAGTTGAAATCATTCATTCAGTAACCATTTGATAGTCTAATTCATTCGATAGTTCCCATCGCTAGTAATAAATACTTATTATAACTTATCTATTTTTTGAATTTATCTATTTAGAATTATATATTTTTATAACAATTTTAATAACTACCAACATTTATTCACAACGTAAAATAAAACAACAAATTATTGAGTCTACCCCACATCTACCCTACATCATAGTTTTACATTTTTTAAATAAAATTAGAACGACACTGATAAACCGGAATTTAAGTCGGCCATATTTGAGGCCCACGCGGTATACCTAAGATTTTTGATATGCTCCTTCCTTAGTCTTCTTATTCAAAGATCCAGGTAGTGAGTCTGAGAAACATTTTGAGAACCGCTGAGCTATATAACAAGGTCGTTTTTGATGCTATTTACAAGTTATTTAAAAAAAAACTACAACATTTTTTTCTTACCATAACATACTCCTTAATCATAGCACCAAGCAGTCTTCTAAGCTCCTTAGTTTCGATATTAGGATCTAAATTTGTTATGTTTAAGTCCACCGGTTGATTGTTTTGTATTTTTGTACTTGAATCGTTCAAAAGGAAATTCTAAAAACCAATAAAACCATAACAAAAATTAATTCAAAAATAAAACAATAATACCTTTGGTTCTGAATCACTTTGCTCAGAACTTCCGCTGATTTTATGCACTCTCCTGCTACAATTAAGGGTATACGGCCCCAAAGCGGCGTTTAGTTGTTCCTGAGGGGTTCCCAGTCTGCTGACTGGGGCGCTTCTGGAGAACTGAGGTACCTGATCGTAGCTGATGTCCATGGGTGATATTGGGGGTGGACCCATGGGATTGATAGGATGGAAAAGGTTACTCTTACATGCTGGACCCGGTTCCTAAGAGATCAGAATAAAAATATGCATTATACTTGTGAATTTTAGATGTAGAGTTGTTAATTTTTTGTGTTCAAATCCTCAGAAAAAAATAAGTAATCATAGAGTTGGCCTGGTTGGTTGGGTGTGAATTGTAATTCACTGTAATTTCAGTCTTCACACAATGTTTTCCAGAGTTATACAGGGTTGTTCACCACATACGACACGGAGTATTGTAGCTAAACGATTAAGTTTCTACAAATTGTAAGTTTTGGGTTTGTTGAAGGACTATTAGATCTACAATTTAAAAATATTTTTACAAGATACAGAGTGTCTCAAATAAGTAAAAAATATTATAGTTGTATTTTTTTTAAATGGAACACCCTGTATATTATTCTATTTTTAGATTCTACGGTTGAAATAATGGTAAATTTGATTAAGGTTTATCACACTTAAACCTTACCGTGAAATGCTGTATACTGATATATTCAACTGATATTAAACAAAAAGAGAGAGATCATCTACGTTTACTTATTTCTCTGAGTGTTAAAATGTCAGGAATGCTTCGGGGTATTCACATATTGCTATAAAGGAAATTTCTTGAAAAAGTAACCTCAACTTTTCTAGCAATCAGACTCGGCCTTTTATTGTCATCATGAATATCGTTTTAATTATTAAAACTTAACAGAGTTATTCTAACTATATATATATAGTCTGTCCTGCGAGAGAATATATGTTTTCGAGAGACCATACACCAAAAAAAGAAAAAAATCTACTTTAAAGTTAAAATGACAGACAATTGTCTGTCATTTTAACTTTAAAGTGTATATAACTCATATATTATTACCCTGGACAGACTATACTTGGAACGTTACCTGACTCCTTCTTCTCTGTCCAAAATCTCTCACTTCTGAGCCTGATAAACTACAAGGATACCCGCCAAATCCAAGCAATGGCGGAGGAGGTATGGTGTTAAATGGTTGCTGCTGACTAGACCTGTTGTCACCATTTTTAATTTTTTGTCCTAAATATATTTAGGCTTAATAACTAACAAGATTTTCATAGACAATATTCATAAAACCAAAAGATGTACATCATACAATCGAAAAAAAAACGGTGTCACGGTGGTCTTTGAATCTAAAATAGATCTTAATTTCTGTCAGTCCCACCTATGTATATATGCAATTTATTAAAAATTTACATGAAAACATGAATTAACTTAAATGGAACAAAGTAAACATTTTCTATGACAGTATATCATATACATTATTATAGGAAAGTTATTATAGAAAAAAAAACGGTGTCATGGTGGTCTTTGAAATTAAATTTGATCACAGTTTCTATCAGAATGACCTATATTATGTCATTTATTAAAAATTGACATGAAGAAATGTCACAAATATTTAAATGGAACAAACATGAAAATGTATCATATAATTGAAAAAACACGATGTCATCGTGGTCTTTGAAATTAAATTTGACCATAATTTCTGTCAAAATGACCTATATATGTCATTTATTAAAAATTGACATGAAGAAATGTCACAAACTAATATTTAAATGGAACAAAGTAAGCATTTTCCAGGAAAATATATCATATAATTAAAAAAACGGCGTAACAGTGGTTTTTGAAATTAAACTTGATCATAATTTCTGTCAGGACGACCTCTATATGTCATTTATTAAAGATTGACATAAAAAAATGTCAAAGTAGTACTTAAATGGAACACAGTAAACATTTTCCAGGAAAATATATCACATAATTGAAAAAAAGGAGTCATGGTGGCCTTTGAAATGAAATTTGTTATAATTTCAGTCAGACCGATGTATTGACCGACAAAATTGACACAAAAAATGTGAAAAACTAATATTTAATTAAAAAAAGGAAACATTTTTCAACCAATCATTTTTTACGTGTAAATCCATTCAGAAAAAATACCTTTTTTTCAAAATTGATTTGTATCTGAGAACTTTCTAAACTATTTCCTAAATTTAATAGAAATTTTTGTCAAATTTCTAAGTCAATTTTTAGTAAAAGACATACAGGTATCGGCTATTTTGGCGCGGTTTTTTTTCGATCACACGGTATAAGAAATCTATAAAAACTACTTACCTGTATAACTACGTAATGAAGGCGATAAAACCTTAATTTTACTGCCGAAAACATCTTCACCCTGTATACGTTTCTGAGCCCTAAAAATAATATTAAAACATTTTTTTGAACACATGGAGCAACAAATTTTAACTCTTTTATCCTAATTTTAATAAAAAAATTAACGATAACTTACTTATAATTTCGCTCATAAGGTTTGAAATGAGCCATTCCCACAACAAAAATGTAATAATACTTTTGTTTAAAAATGAAAATCACTTCATTAAAAATTAACTGATCATTTTAGTAGCAAGACGACAGTCTCACTGATTTTTTACAGTTGTGGCAAATGATAAAAACAGGATCTTTTTTAGGCTCAGAGGAGTTATAAAAAAATGGCGAATACAAGTTTTATCTTCAATTGTTTTTTTTTCAAGAATTCCAGAACAAACAATAATGTAAACACAATAATTCAAAAATATATATTAATATTGGGTATAATATTCAATACAGTGAAATAAATTAGTTTAAAAAGTGTGTTTTATAGAGTTTATAATTTAATTTTTACGTACCTTAGTGCCAAATCGTAATTTCCAAACCTAAGAAAAGCTACGCTTTTATCTGGAGTGAATTCCATACATTTTCCCCCACAGTTAGCCGTCAGCTTTTGAAGCCTACATTTTACTCTGGCCTGTTCAATATTTTTAGGTAAATTCGTCACTTCTAAATAATACACAGTGTTAGAATCCTAAAAAATAACACATTATCACATAACAGAATGTTTAGGCATAAAATAACTCACTACAAATTTCTTTCCTACACTTTTCGGTAAGTCTTGGATCAGTCTGTTTAAATAAATATGCTCGTTTGCACAGAAAATTAATGCTTCTGCCACATTTTGCTGGTGTACCAAATATACCTTAATTTTTTTGCGATATCTAGATCAATTTTGAAGATTGTTATGAATAAACAGTAAATTATTGGTGATATTTAAAGATAACACAAACCTGAGATCAGATAAATCACCAGCAAAATTTATATCTCCTGAGATCAGTACAATTGCAGATGGGGCAGGATTAACTTCTGCAAATCTTCTTAACGATTGCCTCAATTTTTCATCGGCCGCATTTTTGGAGGTAGAAGATACATGAATTAAATTAACCTAAAAACAGACAATATCTAGATGTTTTTCAGTGTTTAAATTGGTGGTATACCTGAGAATCGTGTAATTCCTGCAATACTTGTGGATTTTCTTTTTTAACATCGCACACGACCACAAATTCAGATTCTCTGTAATTCTCCAGAAATGTTTCCCTAATTTTTTGTACTAACGAGGCAGCACTTTTATGTTTCGGTACACAAACATTTTCAATGTCCCAAAATATGCCCATAGGTGGTAGTTTTCTTGCAAAACCTGGTCTTCTTCTGTATTTTTTTACCGAAACATTTGATCCTAACGTATTATGTAAAAGTAACTTTGTCGTGAAAGTGAGATTATTCTATATTTACCCCAAGTAATACTGTTTGTAGAGCTATCAGACTGAGACGAGCAGCAATAAGAGTTATTGGCGCTTACAGCTAGTCTAGGCGGAGGAGGAAATTTTGATTTTGTACCTGTGCAGTCCGATAAATTAAGTTTTTCAAAAGCTTTGTTTTGTTCCAAATCGTTGGAATCGCTGGAATCCTGCTTGGCGTTCATTGTGCGTTATTGTAAACCTTAAATTCTACTTTATAAAATAAAATGTTATAAAGTCAGACAATTAAAATGGGAATAGGTAGATAAAAATATCATACTGACTAGAGGTTTGATAACGATAAAGCTTACAAATTAACTAAGCATTGTCCGGGTTTCAAAGCATTAAGGGCCTTAAATGTAAAGGTTTAAAATTTTCAATGCTTTTCACATAACAAACGGAAAACGAAAAGATAAAATTGATGTTTATTTTATGAAAGGAACAATAATCAACATAGAACATATATCTTATATAACATATTAGTATATGATAATATACAATAATTATATATGATCCAGAAAAGTATAATCCTGGCTGCGCAGTTTGTGAGATCTCTGGTGAGCTATGAGAACATAAATTAAAAGAAGAAAAAAGGGAACCATAGAACAAAAATTTAAAAAGGCAAGCCGGGTAGTCCTAGTAGCTTGGGCCTATAAATTAATAAAAAGAGTAGAAGATGGATAAAAGGTAACCTGCAACAAATGTTTTGAATTTTGAAATTATTTTCTGAAATTTATTATAAATATAATTATGGAAGAGTTTTCTGTTGAAAACATTCCCATACATATAGAGGAACTGGAACATGATATTCCTGATTCGAATGAATCTGAGGATGAGGCCTCAGGTATTTAATAAAATAAAAAAATGTTAATTAAATTTTCAAATTTCATTCTTTTTTTACAGATTCAGCAACGAGAAGGAAACAGATTCCTTCTAAGCTGTCCTCCCATTTAAAAGGTCTTATGGGAGAAGCGAATTTGAGATTTGCCCGAGGAGACCTGGAAGTAGCCAAGAGAATGTGTTTTGAAGTTATCAGACAAGCACCGAGTGCTTTTGAGCCATATTTAACGTTAGCTCAAATATACGAGAATAATAACACCAAGAAATATAAAGGCATTGCTTTAAACTTCTGTACATGATAGAATATATAAGGATATATTTTTTTAGCTTTCTTAATGCTTGCTTGCCATGTTCAACCCTCTAATTCCGAAATATGGTGCCGATTGGGTGATGTAGAACATCAGGACAACCAGCTTAAAGCTGCCATAACTTGTTACACTCGAGCAATACATGCCGAGCCTAGTAATATTGACTTACACAACAAAAGAATGATGCTAGTTCAACAAAAAGGTTTGAAAAAAAATTCTAGTAACTTAATTATTTTATCTCACTTCATTTAGGATATGCAAGCAGCAAAAGAGGTATTTTACACTGTAAATTAATGCTAGCAAAAGCTTTACCGAAAAATAAGCACGAACAAATTATATCACTTTGTCATGAAGTAGCAAAGGAATATTTTAAAGTCCAGAATTATATTAAAGCCATAGAAGCTTTAAGGGTTCCAATAAAGAGAATACCAGATAAGGTAACAGAGGATTTGTTAAATATGATGCTAGAACTCTTGCTTCTCAGTGAGCGGTATTCGGAATGTTTAGATATTTTTACACAGTTTTGTGGCTTTACATTTGAGTTGACCCTAGAGGAAAACATGTCAATCACTGTTCATTCTTATACAATGCCGGAGAATTTACATGTAAGAAATTACTTTTAAATTTTAAGTAAAAAAAACAGTAAAAAAATTAAATATTCTAGGGTGACATAAAAACAAAATTCATTGTCTGTATAATAAGACTGCAGTGCTATCATTTGATAGCTCCGTTAATTGAGGAAATGCTAGAAAAAGACGATATGGAGGTGAAAGGTATGTTATTTTTTGATATTGCCGAGGCTTTAATGGGTTCGGGATACTTCAAAGAAGCCCTGCAACTGTTGGTTCCTTTGGTGAAAACCAAAAATTATTCGTTAGCCGCTGTATGGTTGAAGCATGCCGAGTGTTTGGCTGGTTGTAAAATGTATAGTGATGTAAGTTCTGCTTTATTTCATTTTACACATTTAAAACCTACATTTTAAAGGCAATTGAGGCATATTATACAGTCATAGCGATGGCTCCTAATCATGTAGATGTACTATATCCCTTAGGAATGCTTCTAATCTATCAAGATAGAAAAAAAGAAGCTTTGGAGGTGTTGTCTCAAGATATTAGGTGATTAAAAATAAATAAAAATAATTAAAAAATTAGTTAAAATATTGTTTTAGTTTGGGAAAACTTCATGTCGCTCTTCTAATTGAACAAATGAAACTTTTAAAACAAATCGGCGATTTGAAAAACTACTGGACATGCTGCGAGTTGTTGCTGTCGCGTCACTGTGTAGTCTTGCAAAATTACGAAGAACTGAAGATAGCACTTAGATTCCTAACGGTAAAGGAAAAAATTGCGAAAATCAGAAGGGTTAGGCTTTTTAGACATCAGGACACTAGTGACTTAGATTTTGAGAAGTTTGAAGGTAAGTTTTTTTGTATTTCGCTCAAGGGATTAAGAAAGGAGTATAATGCCACAGATTATACAGATTATAAACTTTGTTTTTTCTTTATTGTTTTTCGTGGTTCCAATTTTCGGAATCGGGCACTAGTTAGGTTACTAGTTTGCGCACATAGCACGCCCACCTATGGCTCCTAAAATTGTGCATAGCGCCTGACCGGCACAGTTATTAGAGAGATATCGGAAAACCGAATAGCGTCCAGTATTTACGCGTACCTTATCATGGTTACGATATACGCGAGTCAATTTTTAACGCAACGCTCGCTAATAACGTTACCGCCTGACGTAATTTGCGGATCAATTACACCCAAGAATGGTAAGGTTAACTGGTCTTGAATTACACCAAGCGCTATTTCTAAATAACGTTTTTAAAGATTGTTTAAATGGGCATGTGCGGGTATTTGACAACCGGGGCCGGCCGGCGAGATCTTTTATTTTAGGTTATGTTTGAATTGTTTTGAATTATTACTTTAGTTTTATTAGGTAATTTGATATTTAAGTAGCTGGAATTAGTTATAATTAAATAAATATGGCTCAAAATATGGATTCCACCTCTTCCAATATTAAAGAACCTATAAAGAGGCTTAGGTTTACAGCAGATGACGACTTAGCCCTTCTAAGAGAATTTGTTGCCCTAAACCCACTGGTAGACGTTGAACAATAAAGCACTGGAAATAAGCACTTTAGCCCTTTAGTTTTAAAATACATAGTAAACAAAACAATTTCAAAGTTTTAAATTCAAAGTTAGTTTAAATAGCGGACGCGACGCGTACAGAATTCTTTCCGATCCGATAACTATAAATAAAGAGAGTTAATACTACCTCACGTAAAGGAAATAACACCTGGCCTTATTAACGTCCATGCACGCTATTCGGTTTAGCGATATCTCTCTATTACGCTGTATATTGTTATTTTACGCGAGTTTATTTTTGCGCACAGGAAATTTTACTCGTTTGCTCATCGTCATAAAAAACAATTTTCGTACCACGAATTAGGGATAAGATTTTTATCTGTATACATATAGTATACCTAATCTGTGATAATGCTATCCATGTATTCGCGCATGGTAGACGGTGATAGGGATCCTCGGCAGGTCGGCCATTTTTAGGCTCTACCCTCTGAGTCACACTCTGAGTGACGTAACGACTTCGGCTGTGCAACGCCATCTATAACAGAAGGCAATGGGCTGTCTATCATTTTAAATCTATAACTGGAAAACCACAGATCACACTACATTGATATTTTTTTTTGTTTTTAGTTAGTTTTGAACCAGATGTTGAAGATGAGTATCAACTTTACAAAGAAATATTGCAGTTTGCTTATGATTCAGAGGAATACGTGTTATACCAGAAATTTGCCTTCATGGGACTACTATCTAAACGATTTCAAAAACATTTTAGTAAGATCAAAAACGATCTTTTAATATTTTAATAATTTATAATTTTATTACGATTTTTTCAGCCGAAATTTATCTTATAGCTTGTTTTGCTTGTTTGGCAAACAGAGACTACAACCATGGCTATTTCATGGCCAAGGAGATACTTCTTAGAAACTACCAGAACAACGAAATTTGGAATGTGTATTCTCTGATGCTGAAATTGTTAGATGATCCAAGAAATTTCTCTAGGTTTCTCGGTATTTATTGATGGTTTTATCGAAAAAAAAAACAATAAATAATATGGGATATTTTTAGAATATTCAATGGCACAAAAGAAATTCCCTTTAAGAACTAAAGAACCAATACTAGGAAATTATTACTGTACTAATGCCAATTATTCTGAATGTTTGAGATACTTTTTAAAGGAATATAAAACTTGTTCTTATGGTGTTTTTATGATTGGTAGGTATAGTTCATATCAAATAAACTTTTAGCCACGTAATCAAGCTTGACCGGGACAGTGTTGCCTTCTTTTGCGTATTTTCTTTTAATCAAAATATTTTAGGAAACAAAAATAAATGAATTATAAATATACAAGGGGCAAACCGCTGCCAAGAATGGTGTACAATAAATACCAATTTTGGGAAAAATTTACCAAAAATACCAAATTATTTCCAAAAAAATACCAAATTAGTCCAAAGTCTGTCTTAATCTCTCGATTCTGGCTTATTCTCATTAGGTTCATTCTCGGGTTCATTTAGACAAACCATCATCGTTTCCTTAAGAGCTTTCGATATTTCTCCATTTTCCTTAAGAGTAGAATTTATTTTCTCTAATGTCGAAATAAAGTTGGTTATAAGAGGTTGATTATACTGAAACTTTTCAATTTTTCTTTTATTCCTTTGCGAGCGCTTGTATTTTGTAGACTTCCAAATTGAATTATTGCTTGTTGACGGTAAGTTTGAAGCGGCAGCTGATAATGGTAGTAAAGGGGTAACATCGGGGAGATAATTATTATTGCTTGTGGATGGTATGGCTATAGTGGCGGCTGATAAGGGTAGTTCCGAGGCTCGTTTAGTTGGGGGGATAATTACGTAGTCTAGTATTTCTGTGATTACAGGTAGCTTCACATATTAGATTAGGGGGTACAATTTTGCTACATGAGGGTTTGCATGCCTCTGTAATTTCCTCGGTATTTTCTGTAGAAGGCTGTTTTAGAAATGAAGTTATTTTTGGTTGTGCCTCAGAGGTATTTGAAGAATTATTGCTTACCTCTGATTTAACCTCGGATTTAACTCTGTGATTATTACTAATTTTTGGTATAAATAATTTATTTGCTATATCAAAATGCTTTATCAAGTGTGTTTGAAAATTTGACCTTACCCAGCGTGCCTTTGTAACTCTTGTTTTTGTGGTTTTTGTAGAAGGATGATATTTTATTTGTAAAGTTACTTGCTTTTTACAAAAGCAGGTTATTTTGCATATTAAAGTCGGTCCCGAAATCGAGTTTGCCTCGAAGTTTGCAGTAGAATTTGGAAGTAAAATTGATGTGCTAAAAATAATGTTATTAAACAGACTATTGCAATTCAGAGTGCTCCAGAGTTCATCACCAATTTTTGACTTTAACCATTGTTCTAGTATTTTAGAAACTATATTATTTTCTTGGGTATAATCAGTTTCCAAAACATGTAGAGTGGTATGTTCTGAAAGACTTCCAGAACTAAACGATTTTGTCAAAGCACCTTTAGATTCTAGATATTTTTCAGTATTAGCTTTAGATGTACTTGGGGCTAGAAATATAGATATTTTTCAATATTAGCTTTAGATGCAAATGGGCTAGAAATGATGCAATCATCTTCCCGGCCGTCGTCGCCACGTGCGTCTAATCCAGCGTTGCCAGATGTCCAACAAAATACCTGTTTAATACCAGTTTAATATCAAATAAAACCAGTTTATTTAAACCAAAAACTCGTAATACAAAACTAAAATGTTAAAACGAATGATAATGTCAGGAAATAAATAAATAATTGTGGCAACTTGACATTTTTTACAGCAGTGCTACCACCTGAATCCCCAGGTGGAAGCTTAAGTTCCAGTTAGTCAGCCCGGCGCCGAATATATCCATGGTTCGCAACAATAAATTTAAAAATCGCGCCCTCGATTATGTAACTAAAAGTTTAATTGATATCAAATATACTTATATACTCAATAAAATTTAAACTTATATATTTTTATTAATATTTCTTACACCATTTTAGCTATGTGTACGTTACAACAATACTGTCAAAGGACTAAAAACCAAGAGAACAAAAAGTCAATGTTAGAAACCGTGACTCAACTGTTCTTCAAATACGCGAAAATTCGCAGCAAACATGCCAAACAAGAAGCCTACTATAATTTAGGTCGAATGTACCAACAAATCGGATTGTTTTATTTGGCAGAAATCTACTACAAAAAGGTTTTAACAGTTCAGAATGAATTATTGGATCAACATCCAGATATATTAGGATTAAAAGAAGAATCCGCCTATAATTTACATTTAATTTATAAAAGTTCAGGAAATTTTGAAGCAGCAAGAAAAATTCTATTTCAATATATTGTTATATAGGTATTATTATCGGGAAAAAGTAGGGTTATGGAGAATTTAATGCCAGTTCCTGTCACAAGTCAAAGCTGTCAGAGGGCCTGCCTTTATAGAGCTTTATTTCAAGTTAAATAGATACAAATCAGTGAAAAAATAAAGTAAATTTATCTACATATGAGTTACAATGGTAACGAAGCAAAGAAATGAACTTCTACCTAATATAGGTAAATATAAAGAGCATTCCTAAAAAATATAGGCCCAAAAAATATACATGATCAATTCGCTTTAAAATAGAAGTAAAGGAACATATTATATAGAGTTGTTTTGTGAAGTAACATTTTCCTTATTTAACTGTTTTAAGTTAATATTTTTATAACTTCTCAATATGTACTTACATATGACTTTTAAGCATTAGCAATATTTTAATACTATTACAATTTTCTACATAGTTCTTAACGACTAGAGATATTTTTGTTTCTATACAATGTTGAATAGTAAAACGACTTAAAAAAAAACTAAGTTGGAAATTTGATTTTTTACCATCCTTGTTATACTCACATATTAAGACCTACTAGTATGACGTCACTCAATATGCAACCAACAATACGTTTAGACCGAAGACAATCGATTTAGAAACGAGATTTAATGTATTGTTAGTTGCATATCTTGCCACGTATTTTAAACAGCCAAACCTTTTATTTCCTTATCACTTCTTTCATCTCCTTTGAGCTGGTTTGAGCATGCTGAGGATTTTCTGGAATACTCTCGTGGGGGGCTCTTTAGGTTTGGAAAGCCCGCACTTGTATTTCAACCTGTCGTATTGCTCTCTGACTGTCCTGGTTAGGCTTTGAAGATATCTGTAATAACAGCACCAACTTAATACAAAACTAAATAGCTTTGAAGTCAAAATCTGGTACTTCATAGATAGGTAGAGTCATGGTAGAGTTTTGTTTTAGAATATTTCTGTTTATAATAATGCCGAGCTTCGGTTTTTCAACGATTTTTCTTTACTTTATATAGGTATAGTGTTTCCAAAGTCACTTGGACTGGTTTGCAACTCTGAAGTTGCCAACTCCTGTGGAAACTGACTGTGGACATAATATACATTAAACCTTAGATCTGGTAGCCTAAGTTCTAAGCTTATATCCACAGATTATCTGTGTTATCTCACAAAGAGAGCTTCTGTGCATCGCCTTCATTTGATGACGTCACGAGTAAACCGTTAAGCCTTCTCTGTAGATGGCAATGGTAATAATATTCAAAAAATGTTTTTTTTTGTCTTTTACTTAGGGTAAGGGGGTAAATAAGTTTGTTTTTTACCTGTACGCTGTTTTGTCAACAGTTGATGATGTTTTTATGCAATCGTTGCCTCCAAACTCGCAAATTCGATAGTGATGTAAGATGGCTGCGTCAGCTGGCACATTTAAAGTTCCTAGAAAATATAAAGCTCTACTAGATTTAATGATTTAGATTCTACCATGAAAAAACAATCTTCTAAGCTATAGTCTGTCCCGGCGAGAGAATATATGACAGTGACAGATGTCGTCTATCATCTATCATTTTAATTGAAAATTATACTGTATTTTATGTCATTTTTTGTCTCTTGCTGGACAAACTTTATATATGTATATCTTTCCTAAGACTATTGTATGTTCTAACGAGTGTTGTTCTTACCGTGGCCAGGTATAAATTCCCAAACAAAATGATTGCCAGCTTCCACTACCAATTCCGGCCTGCAGATGTACTTCGATCGTTGCTTATGGGGATGTAGCTTGCTTTTTCTTCTGGTTTTCTTCAAAGTCACCAAATTCGAAGATATAGGATCGGAGAAATCGTAAACTTCCGAATCGTCGTCCCATTGCAGGTAGAAGAAGGCGTTTTGAAAGGAGAACGAACCGGTGCTTCGTGTGTTGAGTCGATGGTTAAGATAACTAAAAAAATAAATATTATAGGCTTGGCTATCTCTAGTTTATCCTCTGTTTATTGGAAAGAATCAATAATAGTAATAAAAATGTTTTATTACTCACTCGATCAGCTGTGGTAAGGTATCGTTGTAATTTGGAATGATGTATTCGTCCAAATCGATGAGTAAAATGTGAGAAAACTTGTACATGGACCTGTACAGACAATCGTTGAGTGCGGCAAAAAGCCCCTCGGTTCGGATCTCCTTCTGGGACACCATGGCTAGTTTCCAGGGCAATAAAGTGACGATACCTTTCTCTTGGTAGTCCCTTAGGATGCAAGATACCTGAGGTCCAATGGTGTGGTTGTAAAAAGTAAAGTGATCTACTCCTAGCAGTCTGTTTAACTCTATAAATTCCATTATTTCCATTTCCTAGTAAGGAAAAAAACAAACCAATAAAAGGAAAATGTACATCTACAATCTTATCCGATAGTCAAGCAGTCTTAAGAGCGATCAACTCAGTAACTACTGAACACTACTCTAAAACCGTCTTAGATACTGGCCTTTGTCAAATCCCTGAGACTGAATGAGAAGGTATAGGTAACTCAAGAAAGGGGAACACAATCATCTATAAGGTCGCGGTGATTAACATTCTCCCTTAATATCAACATTATTTATCGATATTCTGAACTTATAGTTACCTTGTTATAATCAAAATGAAGTGGTTTCACGCACACCCCGAATCTACCAATAGGGGCGCTATTCATCGAAGGTGCTTTCCAATTGCTTTCGTTCAAATTATTGATGACGTTGAGCATATTCGTGGGCGGGTCCTTGAGTTTGGCAACCACGCTAACGGCTACAGGTACGGATAAGTTAGCGCGAAGAGGACACATGACAAAACATGCGCTATACCTCAAGTTCCAGTTTTCTCTGATTATCTAAAACATTAAACATACTTATATACACTGAAAAAAGAATAACAAAACTACACTACTAAGTATTTAAGTAACGTTAATCTAACGTAGTATCTTACTTTTATTATTATATTTAGAAAAGAAGCTTGAAATTTTGAATAGATGGTTAAAATTAAAAACTACAACAGGTTCGTCATAAATTGGGCCCCACGTTGGGCGCCAATCCCCAAGGGTAAGTATAAACCGACAATAAAATGTGAGTCTTCTTCATTCTTACCTTGAGTTTTGCTGGGACCGTTCTTGATATGTTTACCGTAGCATTTCCATCCATTATTCTGTACCACAATCTACACCATACCCTTTCCGGACCTCTGGTCTTCGTAGCGGCTATGATACGAATGTTCCTCTGGTTTCTCCTTTGATCGTAGTAGGCAGAAAATACGAAAAACTTGTATTTCGACCCATTGACGTTTTGCCATGACCCATAGGATATGGTGAAATTCTCAGGATAGGGTGGCAATTGGTTCTCGGAAATCACCTGTGTCAAATGTCAAATTTACACAAATTAAACAAAAGAATATTTTATAGTAACAGTTGTTCTGAACTTCATTAAGAATATGCGCAATAGGTGATATGCTATCTCTCAAAAACACGTAAAGTTATATACAGCTGGGTACTGAATAACTGGTGGTTATATGTATAATAGAATATTATTTTTACCTTTGTTACATAACGTGGAGCATTATCTATGTTAGGGATGTGCATTCGAGGTTTCCCTATTAGGAATGATCCTATGTCTCCGGTGTCCATCATGGCTTGTCCCACACGAATGGAGATATAGTCGTCGTCCTATAAAAAATAAGAACTATTCGTTATTACTTGTGTCTAGTAGTAAAAAATATTTTGTTTATTCTCTTATATATAATTTATTTCTTACTGAATTCATATAACCTTATATCGCCTAAGTTATGCTAACCATAAAAAGAATATATATAATAATACTCCCTTACATTATTAATGGGAATTAAGATTTCCTCTACCCTTTATAGGTAACAGCCATGATATACAATAGACATTTTGAATAATAATATAAAAATTAAAATCATTAATTAATGTCACATATAATAAATTTACAACCGTTTCATCGACATCCCCTGGTACAACTACCAGTGGCGGTTCGTGGTTATTATTATAGGGAGGTCAGTATCTAAAAATATTGCGGCGATTTTTTTTAAGACGCGACCAAATTTAATTGGTTTCTTACAAGGTACTTGTACGTTTAGTTAAAGAAAAAATAAATCTAAAAATAAATACAAATTATGTTACAATAAAACCTACCATTACATTTTTAAACAGGTGGTCTAATGCCATTTCACTAAAAATCCGGTCAATGTTCTTTACACAAATTTTCCACGGTAGGATTTAAGAGACACTTAAATAATAATGTCACAAAAATATAAATACATATACAGGGTTGTTCACCACATACGACACGGAGTATTGTAGCTAAACGATGAGATTTTTACAAATTGTAAGTTTTGGGTTCGATGAAGGACTATTAGAGGTACAATTTAAAAATATTTTTACAAGATACAGAGTGTCCCAAATAAATAAAAAATATCAAAGTTGCATTTTTTTAAATGGAACACCCTGTATATTATTACATTTTTTGTTTCTGCGATTAAAATAAAGGTAAATTTGATTAAGGTTTATTACACTTAAACCTTACCGTTTTTGAAATATTTTCAATTTTCTGAAATTGCAGTAAAAAAATTAAGGCTTCATTTCTCCAAGGGTGTCAAAGTTTTTAATACTAAATATTTACTGAAGTCTATTTATTGATCAGTTATTGTGTTGCAATAATAAAAATATAAATTATAGAGAAGAAAAGAAGAAATATTATTTTAAATAATTTCTAGCTTTAAACGGCTATATCTTGTTTAATTTAAATAGAACACCCTGTATATTTTAGGAGAATCAGATGCACAATTTAATTGTCTATCAAATTGTATTATACCATTTTTTACCTATCCCTTCAAGTTTTCGTAGAAAATGCATTTTCTTATAATTTAAACCTCATTTATCAATATACCCATGGAATATTGACATTTTAGATTGTTTTTAAAGCGACAAATGTACAAAATGTACAGGCTAGTAATATTATCGTTTTTAGCAAAATGATAATATTACTAGGCCATTTGTATGCAAGAAGTGAACTATTTAAATCTTTATAAAAGAGTATACCACTATAATTAAATAACCACCATTATTTCCGCACAAATACTAATTAATTACATACTTAATTGTTCGTTAATAAATTATTCTCAATAGATGTGGATTTGAATCAGAAATCAATATAATAATAAGTTATGAAAATGAATGTCTCTGTTGTTATAAATATAAGCTTTTGTCAAAAAATGAAATATCATTTTTAAGGTGTTACTTTTTACCACATTGCCTAATACACATACAAAATTTAGTTTTTTTACTATTTCAGCAATTATTACAAATCAACGCAACAGTCAATTAATGTAGTTCGAATACTAGAATCATATTAATCATTCTTTAACAAATATTTAAACAGCTTTTTATATTTTTTTAATGAAATAAACAAAGTAGATCGACAATATTGGTATCTGTTCTCTTTAAAAAGTTGCCACATTTTTAAAAATAATCTAAAATGTCAGTATTCCATGTGTATATTGATAAATGAGTTTTTAATTACAAGAAAATGCATTTTCTACGGAAACTTGAAGAGATAGGTAAAATATGGTATAATACAGTTTGATAGACAATTAAATTGTGCATCTGATTCTCATAAAATATACAGGGTGTTCCGTTTAAATTAAACAAGTTATTGCCGTTTAAATCTAGTAATTATTTAAAATGTAATTTTAGACACTCTGTATAAGGTAGTATAATTTTTATTATTGCAACACAATAACTGATCAATAAATAAACTTCAGTAAATATTTAGTATTAAAAACTTTGATACCCTTTGAGAAATGAAGCCTTAAAGTTTTGACTGGAATTTCACAAAATTGAAAATATTTCAAAAACGGTAAGATTAAAGTGCGGTAAACCTTAATCAAATTTACCTTTATTTTAATCGTAGAAACTAAAAATGTAATAATATACAGGGTGTTCCATTTAAAAAAAATATAACTTTGATATTTTTTATTTATTTGGGACACTCTGTATCTTGTAAAAATATTTTTAAATTGTAGCTCTAATAGTCCTTCAACGAACACAAAACTTACAATTTGTAAAAATCTCATCGTTTAGCTACAATACTCCGTGTCGTATGCGGTGTACAACCCTGTATACACATACACATTTCTAAAGTTTTATTTCACATTTTTTTATAATTTAAGTCAATTCGTTCTCTAAACGTTTTTGGAAATTTAAGCAATTGTTTTCTTTTAACCGTACGATTTTACAAACTAAACACCATATGTTGTCTATTTGAAAATATCTATTCCAGAATCAGTCAAAAAGAAGTTCATTGTTTATCCAGAACCAGAAAATTATGAATTATTACCCACACAAATTTCGCGCTGCATCTCAAACCCTCGGCTACGCCAAAGCTACGGCAACTAAAACTAAATTTTTTTTTGATATTAAAAATTTAAATATTGATTTATATTGACTAAACCAAACATAATACGCGATACGCGATAAACGGTACAAAAACCTACGTTGTTTTATAATTTGAGCTTTTATAAACACCCAAACTGCTCAAACAGCGAAATTTTTCCAGCTATATGACTGAAATCCTGTAATATATTTATATAGAAATAATGCACTCGATATTTCTTAATCAACCATTTTGATTCTCAACTAATAAACAATATTACAAATTACAATAATAACATGCTGGGGTTTCTAGACAAAGACAAAAACCGCCACTTTTTATATCGTTTGTCAGTAAACTACCAAATACAAGTCTATATAAAGTTGCCTACCTTACAAATCCTGTTATGAATGACGCGGTCAATGGCCAATATAAACTATTTTTTTCCTGAGTGAATCATACTCTAAAATTTAGTCCTGGATTTTTGAACACCATGTATATCATATAGGGCTTTTTATTTCTGGTTGCTATGGAAACCAACCAAAATTTGTCGAACTGCATCAAACCGATTAAATATTTTGACGTTAAATCATTTTTCCTAACGTTAATTTTTGACTTTGACAATTCGATCAAAACTAGTTCAATAAAAATTCAATCAAAGCGAAAATACATAAACAAGATCGTACTTTTAGAAGATGCAGTTATCGGATGAGGCGAAAGAAAGGGTACAAATCGTACTAGACATAATGAGGAGACTGTTCCACATTGGATTCATACCGTTTATCCTCTACATGGGCTACAAGATGGGACCTGACAGTGGATGTGGAGCGTTTCACTTCACGCACTTGTTGTGGCATTATTAATTTTTATGGAGTCGAATAAAAAGTTATGGTGAAACAGATTAAATATAATGTTTGTTATTTCAATAAAATACTTACTTGAAATTCGTTATCGTAGTCCATTTTGTCTTTGTTGTGGTGGTAGCTTAGTGATCCATGTCTGACTAGTATTCCTAAAAAATTAAATGAATTATAGTGCTTATTCTGTATTCGTAAGCGAAAAAAAATACTGGGCTTTGATTTATAAGACTTACAATTTTAAATTAAAAATTATTTTTAGTTTTTCGTCTCTACAAATTTAAGAAAAAAAACTGCATGTATTGTGATTGTATGTCCTAAACATCTTAATTTTTGAGATACAGATGGTAAATTTACTGTGGCGTCTATCAAGTTTTATATTGATTTTTTTTCAGGAAATTTTACTATCCCCAAACGAAAAAAAATGTTGGCTTTAGATTTTTTTATATACAGACCTGTTGTTTTTTCTTTTTCATCAATGAAAAATATTTCTGTGAAGACGATGAACCCAAACACTGCGAAGAACATGACAACAATAAAAAAGCTCATGTTAGCGCGCTGTTTGTTCCTAAAATTAATGTACTTGCTTCTCCCTCCGCTAGAGGAACCCATTATTTATAAATCTGCAAGAAAAACATAACTAATTGTAGCTATATTAACTCACTCGAAAAAATAAAAAAAAAATCTTTATATAAGAAAGTATTTTTATTTTATTTTAATGTGTAATCTGTGTAATCAACTAGTATTAGTGATGTTGGTAGCGAATATTTCCATTCGAATTTTGCAGGAAATTTCCGAAATATTCGGTCCCAAAATCGCGAATATTCGCAAAAATCCGAATTTTGCAAGAAATTTCTTTTCAAAATTCAAGACATTGAGCCAAAATTTAACGAAAGTGTATCAAGTATGCCGATTCTTAAGTCAGAAGAAGAAGAATGCTTCTCCGCCTTACAAGATAAAAAACCTATGGCTCTTGAACCAATGCATTTTGCCGCGAATCTCTTGGACCAGTGCCTTCTAATAAAAGATCAGCCTACGGGCGGACTTTTGTTTACTTCATCAGCTGTACATACTTAGATATTGGGTTAGATTCCGTTTCATATTTTGTCGGTTGATTTTTGGTTTTAACGTGGTTTTAACTCTTTGATTTTTGGTATTATTTATTATTGTAGTGCAAAAAACTAATTATTTTGGTGTTGAAGTGACATAAACTACTACCAGATATATGGTCACTCTCGGTTTCGCATAAAAAAATAGAAATTTTAAAAATTACACGTTGTGCAAGTGATTTAACCTAAAAGTGCCCATACATTTTTACTTATCGTGATTTTTGTGTGTGTTTTTTTATGACTCTAACAATTCATCAATAAAGCTTAAGTGGAGTGTGTTATTGGTGCTATGCCTCATCTTTGTTGTGTTCCTGGTGGAAAGGATAGTTACTAAGGATAGTTATTATACTAGGCAGCCTAAAGTGTCCGGAAGAGCAAGAAAAGTGGGTACGAGTTATAAATCAAGAGAATTTTATTGAAAATATCTTTAATAAATTTAAAAATAATATTCTCCCATGATGGTATTAATGAAAACTGGACAATTATGTTTATTTTATTCATATTGTGGAATCTCCACTCCAAGTGTTGCTGGTTCAGCTTCGATAGATTCAAACACGTAGGTAGGTATTATGATCTAGGGAAAAATAAAGAATATGTGTATTAGAGATCATGAAAAAGATTATTATTTTGAGTTCAAATTTTAAAAAAGATTTTTGTAAAGACAAGACTGATACAGTTTAAAAGAAGAATGTGTTTTTGTTTGATAATATATAATGTATGTTAAGCATAACATATATTTGTTCAGTAATTTTTAATGAATAGTATTGATTATTTATAATACCAAATTAATATCAAATATTTAAGTGATGGCTGAATACAATATGAATAAAATAACAATAAAATTGGTATATTTGCATAATACAAAATTAAGTTTTAAGAATAAAGGTGTTACTAAAAATACTAAGAAATTCATATTTCTTTGTTTTAATTGGTCTAATGTTATTTACATTTTACGTAAGAATTATACTGTATCATCGAAAAAAAATCGGCGTCTAGTTGGCTTGGAAATAAACATCGATGACATTCCCTAAATAACTGTACACATAAAATAATTAACTAGAATTTTACAATCTTGGAAAATTTGATATTCTTGAACCTTGATTCTAAATATTCTAAATTTTTTGATTTTCTTGGAATTTAGGTTCGGGAAAAACGCTGATTGATTTTTCATTTGGTTTTCATTATTTTATTTGGTTTAAAAAAAAAACGGTTCGGCTAACATTATAGCCTCCATCAGTGTTGTGTCATATGAAAAAAATAGTGTCGAATATAATCCAAAAATTGCATATAAAATATTCACACCACGCACATAATGTTTACTGCGTACTCCATAGTCAATGTAGATAATTTTAGTGTTAAGAATAATAATTTTAAAAATATGTGGTCATCTTTTGATAAGTTTATATTAGTTTATTAATTGCAGTAAACATTATGAGGTGTGAATTATATTGTATATGTAATTTTTTGGATTATATTCGACACTATTTTTCTCATATGACACAACACTGTGAAGGCTATAGTTAGCCGAAACGTTTTTTTTTAAACCAAATAAAAATAATGAAACCCCAAATGAAAACTTAATCAGCGTTTTCCCGAACCTAAAATCCCAAGAAAATCAAAAATTTTAGAATAATTTAACATATAAAATGCCAGCGATCTTCATTTCATAGCCATCGCTGACGCTTTTTAGATAATATTGTATTATTTGTAAATATAATTTTTCGAACATTGATACTTGCAAAATATACATATAAATTTTGTGAATGCAAATAATAATACATCACTATTAGTAGATATTAAATGTTTTTGTTAAATTAGATCGATTTTCAAACCCCAAAATTTAAAATATATTTACATTTTACCCATTATCTTATGTACCTATACATTATTTGTACATTGTAAAACATTTGCTGCATTTGTATGGTTCATAGTTTATTTGTCAAAGTATTTATTACTATAAATAGGTATATATGTTGTAGTTATTAACTGTATATTATGTATATTTCATTTAAACTATATCATTTTTAAAATACAAACCAAAAATCTGAGGAATAATTATGTTTTCCATGTATTCTACAACATATTTATTAATCCGTTATATCTAACTAGCGTGACGTCATAAATCTCGCCCGTAGGCTGATCTTTTAATAGAAGGCACTGCTTGGACCCCTGTTTCCTGGGAGAGCACCTTAACAATGAAGAATACATAGCCGCTATGGAATTTATCAACAATATCACCAACAATCATCCTCAGTTTGTCAATAATAAGCCATTTTTACAGATTATTTTTTGAAAAGAATTCTCGGTTTTTCGTCACTGAAAAAAAATCTACAAAATAAAAAGTTAACTCTCTCCCCAACACAACTATTCAAGAACACTTTAGATGTTATAGCAGATACATCTACCATATGACGCCGTTTTTTTTTCGATCATACAGTATTATAAACTCGATGTATTTAGATATTTTAAATAGCTTTTTCTTTGTTCTTTGTGTCTTTCTTCTGACTATGGGTAGAGATATACCTACTGAAATCTTAGGCATTTTTCTAAAATCTTCTGTTTTAATCGGTTTTAACTAACTGATATTTTTGTTTGGTTTGCCAGAAATAAACATAAAGATTATTATAAAAAAATGAGTTCGAGAAGATTTTAGAAAAAAATTATTTTTTAATTTTTTTTCATTTTGTTACACCACTTCAAAAAATTCTAAATAATTCCTGAGTATAAAGAAGTATAAAAGACATTTTCTTATGATTTTAGTGGGTGACATATATTACAAAGATTAAAAAAATGAAGATTTTAATTTTCTTTCCTCCGCTAAAAATCGGCTTTTCGTTTAAGAATCATGACCATATTCTTTTTTCATGTCTCAGACTTCTAAGAATCCGAAAAAAATCATCATTAATTAATTTTGAATTTTACTATAAAAATAAAAATAAAATTGAAAAAACAGGTTTTTTGAAAATCTCGAAAATCGTTTGAGTTAAAGAGCTAAAATTTTAGGTGAATTATTTTGATTCGACACTAAATAGACCCCCTGAGTGCGAGTACAAAAAGCCACGGGGGCAGATTTCCTATATTAATCCGGCTATACCCTTTAATAAAAATTAAAAAGGTGAAACAACGTACTTGAGATTATTGCATACAATTCCGAAATATCACCATCAAAGCAGCCTGTTCCATGGCGCCCCTGTTGCAGGAAAAAACAGCTGATCCCGCATTCCCGTATTCACGCCCGATCACAAGGCCACATCGCGGTAAATCCACTTTGAAAACCGCGAAAATACACACCGAAGGCTCTCATACCGCGTTTATGGATACGAAAACACAAAGACACGTCACGCGATGGTGAATTATTAAACTACATTGGGAAAACAAACGTTGGCAAACGAAAAATGATTTCCGATTGCCGGAAAACTCACAACGGGGGCGAAAAAGAATTGTTGGGGAGGTTGGGCATGCGCAAATGTGAGTTGGGGAGGTTTTTGTTTGGTTCTGGATCGATAGTAAAGGGAATTTTGGCAGGAGACAGGAAATTTAAGGGTTTTCTTTGACAAATCGTGATATAATCGCGCCAAAATCAAGATTTTGTTTTATTTTATTTGCATTTTGACACTGACTGACCAATCGTCTGTCTTTCTTTTGTTTTTGTGTCATTTTTACGAACAAATTAAAATTTTAGGTGAAGTTTCTAAGATCTAAGATTATTTCTAACTTTTTTTGAGCTGGAGGTGATTACTTTGTTATTCATTTTGTATAGAGTTGTTTTTTTTTATTAAATAGTTGAATGAAAGAGTTATTTTCTAGTCCTTTTTATTGAAAAAAATACTTGCACACCAAACATGTTTAAAACAGATGTTTTAAACATATAAATACCATATTATCAAAAAAAAACGGCGTCAAACACGGCTGGGGAATGACAATCAGTGATAATTTTGGCGAGGTCAAGCCCTAGACGTTATTACTAGGCGGGTACTCTTCCTTATTTTTTAATAACCCTTACTGCCAGTTGGTCTTAAGATGGCTAGATTATTTTTATATTAAGTAAAAATGATTTTTAAATGGTGTAGTTTAAAATTCGAGAATAGTATATTGTTTTGTTAGGAGTAAAAATGATAATTTTTTACACAAAATCATTTTTACTCGGAATAAAACATTCTATTTTTTTTCAAACGCCTCAAATAATTTTTTAAACAATTTTAAACGTTCCAATTAATATAAAAAAAATAAAAGTAATACCTTGTAAGTAATTATATCTTGAGAAACAATGTTTACTCTCGTTGAATTGACATTAATAATATATTATTAAACACTTATTATATATTTCATACACTGATAAAAGGATAGACTTGAACTAAAGTCGTCATCGTTCTTGAAAAAAAATATTTAGTGGCAAAAGAAGAAGAGAATAGAGAATGCATGCATGACTATAGATAGAATAAGAATATAGGTATCGATTTTTTTATGCAAATAATTACAAAAATTTTAGAATTTCAAGTCGTCTTATTAAAAAAATTCAAAATGTGACCAAAGCTTATAATTTTAATAATTTATTTGCTTTACTTTGATTAATCGTGATGTAACATTTTTTTGTAATTTGTAGAGTGATGAACGAACCACCCCAAAAAATACCAAGGAGTGAAGAAGCAGAAATAATATATATCGATGAAAATAATATCACTTTACTTACTACAGACCAGGAAAACCTAAATTTATCAGAAAATAATATACCTCGTAATATGCCTGTATGACTTTTCTTAAATCAAAATAAATTTTAGTTGAGTCAATAGTATTCGTTATTGGTTTAAGAAAAGTGTCTCTTTAATCAAGAAATGGTCCCTTTTCAATCAAGAATTTTTGCATGAATCAAAGAGACTATTGTTCTTGTAGCAAGAACTTCTTTGCATATTCATTTTGGGTCAAGAGTGAAATACTTTGGACTGATAGATTCTTCTATTCTCTAAAGTAATTTTTTAAAGCTTATGAAAAGATGGTTAATGCTTTGGGTAAAGAAAGGTCGTTCTTGGCCCTATTGAAAAGCGCCAATCTTTGGGGTCAAAGTCATATTCATTTCGACTGAGAGATCCTTTTTTTCAGTGTACTTTTATGCTTAGGCGTAATAGTGCTTTACTTTTATGCCTAGGCGTTAAAATGACTTTTTTATATTATCAATCGCGTCGCAAAAATTAATACTTTTGTGACGTTTGAAAAAAAAAACGTATATTTTGACACTCTCAAGCATGGGCGCCGGAAGAATGAAATTTAGGGGGGGGGCAAGGTAAAAATGAAAAAAAAATTGACATTTTTGGTAATTATTGGGAAAACTGGAAATCGTCCGATTTTCACCAAAATTGGTATACACACCCTATTTTGAAGTCGTAGATTACGAATCTGAACTTTTTTCTTGGCGGTCTCTTACCGTTTTTCAGAAAAACGGAAAATAATTTCGATAACGAATTTTTCTTAATTTCTCATATTTTTAAGGTTTTCTTACACATATTTTGTTAGGTATTCAATAATCAATAATGTTTTTGCTATTTTCTGTTACTTTTTTAACCAATTCTATGCATAATAGAGGAAAATTTGCTAAAATAAATTTGTAAACAATCTGAAAATGTTAGGTTATAGCTTTGTTCGGGTTCTTGTTATTACCGATTCTGAACCGTCCAAGAATTCTGCAGCGCATGCGCAAATGAAATAATGTCTTCATATTTCCTTCTGCGCATACGCATCACAGTTCTAGGACGGTTCAGAATCGGTAATAAGAGAAACCCGAAGTAAGCCTATGTGTTTCTGGCATTTAAAGCAACGTTGCCAATGCTAATCCTAAATTTAGCGTGTTTTTTTCGCTCATTCTGGAATTACGAAAGGCGGTCGCCAGAAGGACGGCTCCTTCCCATAACTGCTATTTTACCAACGAGATCTGACTATTTATACCCACGAAGTTGCACGAAAGAGTTTTGATTGCATTGGTTACAACTTCCATGCAGAGGGTGTTAATCTTTTGTTGTTATATTATTAGATTAACTAAAAAAAATTAACCCCCTCCGCAAAGAAGTTAAAACCAATGCAATTAAAACTCTTCCGCGTAATTTTGTGGATATAGGTGTATATTTAATTATTGTCGATCTCATAATAGAGGTAATTTATTTAAAATCCCTAATCACCCGAAAAAATAGAAGATATGGCAACGTTGTAAATTTTCAAATTTCTAGATTAGGTCAAGAATATATTTGTCTCTCTTATTACATAGGAGAGAGAAAGAAGGATATATCAAACTTCCATCTGGTCTCAATTTTCTTTGCTATTTTGTTAAGAAAAGTGTTTTTCAGTAAAATGTTGGAGACTTTTCTATCCCCAATCAAGTGTGGCTTTTAGATAAACTATAATATAATGAAAATATAGTGAAATTATTACTTTATAGGGCCGAAATAAAGAAAAATTCAATGTTGAAATAATTTTCCGTTTTTCTGAAAAACGGTAAGAGACCGCCAAGAAAAAAGTAGATTCGTAATCTACGACCTCAAAATAGTGTGTATACCAATTTTGGTGAAAATCGGCCGATTTCCAGTTTTCCCAATAATTACCACATTTTTTATTTTTTTACAGGTAACACCTAACAATTTCATAATAATGATTATTTTTTTACAGATCGATGTAAGAAGATATAGCTTTTATTTTTATTGTTTCAGTGATCCAGGGGGGGGCAAATGCCCCCTCTTCCCCCCCCCCTGTCCGGCGCCCATGCTCTCAAGGGAATCAAAATGGATCTTGCAAGATCAAGACCAAGACTACTAATTAACTGCAAAATCAAGACCAAGACCAAGGGAGTCTTGTTTGGTCTTGCGATTGCCCATCACTATTTAAAACAAGTAATGGTGTTACGTGTTACAAATACATGTAAAATACTTGCTTTTAAACAAAATATTTAAAATATAACAACCCTTTTTACTCACACCAAAATCCTTTTACTTAGTTCTTGATCATTATATCTTTCTGTTCTATCTTAATATAAAAAATATATTTCTTTAAACTTACTCAACAAAAATCACAAAAACACTTATTTCTTGAACGCGAAACTCTGCAAAACACTGATATTTCTTTATGAAAGACAGACATTTTAAAATTTTTATACTAAAACTAAGACAGCATAATATATTTTTATGCAGATAAGAAAGACCACAGTGGCCAGTGGCTTCGACGTCAGTTTATTTTTTCTGTACCTGAGTGCTAACAGAGGTGCTAACAAGTTATGTCAACTTTAAATCTATTCTGTATTAAAAAAGTCATTACTCCTAAATATACCAAGAGGTAATCAATTATTAAGATAGTATAAGATGTCATTATAATTAACATAGTATAACAGTAAACGGCAATATTCAGTATTTGTTATATTTTTTATTTAGCCGTAGTAGTTACGGAACAATAATTAATTTAAGATAATATTTCAATGTTTCCTTTACACTAAGCGCTGACAGGCTATTTCCAGTCAGTAGACTGGAAAAGCGTCAAAAGTTGACATATGGTATGCCATTCTATTCAGAGTGTCATTTTCTATAGAATAGGTAAAAATATACCGAGGGTTTTCTTTAAAAATCAAAAGTTGTAGTCATTTACGGTAAAACAAGAAATAACCAAAAACAATTGAATACGTCAATCAATCCTAATTTATGTCGTATACTAACATACCAAATCTAGTTTTTTATCTAAAAAAAATGGCGCCGGGAGGCACGTATAGCCGCCCATACTAAAATATGTTAATATCTCGAAAACTGCAACTCTGACTGATTTTGATGTTATTACAAATTTTGTTGCAAATATTATTCCTAATCTTAATTTGAAAACCGCGTTTCGCTAGCTACTGTAGTTTTGGAGTTACAATTTTTTTAAATTTTTAACCCCCGCCCATATCCCCTTACCAACCCCCATCAAAAACTAATGGCCAGATTCTCGGATGCCACAGTATTTTTGTGGCAAATTTCGTCAAAATCGGTTCAGCGGTTTTTGAGTTATCGCGTTACAGACGGACAGACAGACAGGCAGACACCATGAAAATATTTTGTATTTAGGTCATTTATGACCGAAATAAAAAAAAATTATGTGAGCCACTTTTGAGACACACCCGGTATAGGTATTATTTATAATACCTTTGCCTATACTATATAATAAGCATCCGGTTGATTTGGTCCAAGTAGACTTTGACTGTATCAACCAGGCTTTATATTTGAGCCTAAACCATTACTGTAGGCGATTCAATATGATACCAATTTTCTTTTATTTAAGATTATTTACTGTTAATCAAATCCAGTATAACCATAAAAAATATTCATTTATTTGATGGAAAAGAAAAGAAAAGAATAAAAAAGCAGGAAAAATACATTGTAAATATGAAAAATATCACAGTCTGAACGAATCTGAAATTAAAGGGATTAAAATTTGTCCCTGCAGGACACCATAAATAAAAAGCTCCTTGTAAATAAACGTAAATGGTCAATTTCAATTGGGTTTCTTTCTGGGTCGGAATACGTATTGATATCTGGTGGGCAGTCGCGCATAGTGGGCACCAAAACATTCAAAATCCATGTGGATATGCGTAACGTCTGAAACAATAATAATAACCTTAATTTTGAAAGTGACAGAAAATGATTCTGTATCAATACTAAAATAATTTTGAATTTTCTGTTTTTAACAAAAACAACGCCAGTGATAACATCCGGCATCGTTAAGGTGCGTCCAGACCTAACGAGACGAGAACAAGGCAAGAGCGAGACGCGAGCGAGCATCTTTTATCCATTTTTTGACGCAAGCCTGCCGCAAGACAAGCGAGTTGGATGTTGGATCATAGTGATAGGAAGCCAAACACATATTAAATTGCAATTGAATATAACAAACGATGGCTAAGTGATAACGGATAGAGTAATAAATGTTTGTACCGGTGCTGCCACCATCGGAGAATATCATAAATAACTAGTACCTACAAATACACGGGTTTAAATAGTGAGAGTACGAAAAAAAATAATATTTAATTATTCTAAAAGTGTTATGAAGTATAATTTGTAAAAATTCTAAAAATAAAAATAAAAAAAGAAATATTTTGATATCTTCAGTAGGTCTAACTTGTGTTATAATTTATTATTACAGTTAACAAACTTTTTAGTTTAGTTTAGTTTTTAAACTATCGGTAGCGAGCATAGTTTTAATTTTTTTTTTAAGCACCGGTTTTGCTAGGAGAGTCATAATTGGAGCTATTTCGGCTATAACGAAATTTTTTAAAGGTGCATAATTATAATTTTAGAAGATGTTCATAAAACATTTAATCACTAGTGGATTAAATAAAGTATACCATTAATATTGCAATTTATATTTTATCCTCTCATAGTAGAATTTTAGAATTTAGAATGAGTGGGAGGGGGAATCACTTCGACCTTAGAGATCCATTGTGTCCCCCTTTCTTGAATCATAACTCATCATACAGTCCCAGGGCTTTGACAAAAGCCAGTATCTGGGACGGTTTTATAGAGGGTAGTTCTCCATCTCCAATATCAGTCGTACCAAAATTCATGGCACGAATGGTTGTCGTCTCGGCGCACTCAGTGATGAGGTGTACTGGTGTTTCACCATCTTCCCTACAGAATCTGCATTCGCCGTTTCTTCTTAGTTTCAATCTACTGAGGTGTTCATTGAGGAGACAGTGTCCTGTTAAAAACCCCGTGACAATCCGAAGATTGTTCTTACTCAGACCTAGGAAGATCTGTGATTTTTATTGATCATAAGCCCTCAGAAACTTCTTCGAGTGTCCTAGACCATTGCAAGATTTCCATTCCAGGTTGCGGATGGAATCTTCCAAGTTCTTGAGTTCCTCCTTGAGTTGGTTACCACTTGGAAAGCAGAACGGTTCTGGTCCAGTTAGTGGAGTGTTCGCTCCTTTTCTACCTAGATTATTTGCTTTTTCATTGCCTTTTATCCCTTGGTGAGCAGGCACCCAGTGTAGGAGGACTTTGTTTTCTTTGCCTAATTTATTCAGCTTCTCTATGTATTCTTTGACCAATTTCGAATTGATTGAGACTGAGTTGATCGCCTTTAACGCTGCTTGACTATCAGATAAGATGGCTATTTCTTGTTTCCGATAGTTCCTATCTAAGATAAGTTGTACGCATCTCTCGATAGCGTAGATTTCTGCCTGTAGGATACTAGGGTAAGTGCCCATTGGTTCGGAGTAATTAGCTCTCGGCCCAAACACTCCGATCCCTGTTCCCGTATTGGTTTTGGAAGCATCAGTATACCAAGTTATGGTATGGTCTTTTAACTGCTGGGCAAGCGTTTCGCTCTCCCAATCCTTCTTATTGCTCAATACTACATTGACATGTTTGTCAAAGTTGTACGTTCTTGGCATATCGTCCACTGGGAGTTGCAGAAGTGGTATTTCCTTTTTGAGGGTGTTCCAAGCCCCTGATCTGACAATTCTCCCAGTATATATCTATTTAATTCCTCTCATAGTATATATCTATTTAATTTTTTGATTATGTAACAAGCACTTTGTTTACTCACTTGTTTCATCAAACTGCTTGAATCCATTTTTGCTTATGATCAAATCGGTGTGAGAAAATATGAAGCTATGCAGAAAAAATGTTATACAGAAAAGTCCACAGACTTCGAGACATAGGAAAATCAAGTCCATTTAGCGTGTGTCCAAAGTTTTCAAAAATGACAGTTTTGTTTAGACTGACGTTTAATTTCACCTGACCTCTCGGTGAATTATTTATTTTTATGGGGGTACATAAAATCTAAAATTTACGGCCATGAAGAAATTCAAAACTTGGTGCAGTTAAGGCAGAAAATATTTAATGCCTTTGACACTGTCCCCCTCTGATATGTTATCCAATGTGAGGAGAGGATTTTATGATCGTTTGCATGTTAATGCAAGAGGGAGGCATTTTTGAACAATTTTTGTAATTTTTTAAATTTCATTATCCTGTTTGTTTAACGTTTACCCATTACCTACCTGGACGAACATGGGAAAACAAAGGTCCTTTTCAGGACCACAAATATTTTGATTGAGGAATTTGTTACTTTTATTTATTTTTTTTTTGGATAAAAAAAACAAAAGTTGTTAATATAATACCAATTTAAAAGTATTTTAGTTGTTTTAATACACACTATTATATAAAATTTATTATTATTATAATGTACATTATTAATACTAATTATTCGTTCGAAATGGCATTAAGGCCCAATTGCACCAATGATTTAAATTTTTCTTAAAGATAAGTAGAGCTTAGAATGAGCTGTATTTATATTTACTTTAATACTCACCTTAAATGAGGGAATTTGACTGATACATTTTTTGAATTTGAATTGTTTTTAATGATACTAACAATTTTAGTTCAATTTTTAATAAAATTTATTTAATATTAATAGAAATCCAAAAGATTTGAAACCTCTTTTAGCGATTTATAACATTCTCAGATGAATTACAGGTGCCCTTATTTTCTATGAAAACCACACAGCTTTTTTCATAGTCGCTGCAGTTGTTATAGCTATAAAAAAACCTAATTTTTTAAGGTGTGAAAATTGCGACACACGCTAAATGGACTTGATTTTTCCTATGTCTCGAAGTCTGTGGACCTTTCTGTATATGTCGAAGCACATTTTAAAATTACTGTGGAGTATACAGGGTACTTCAAAAAAGTGTTGCGGATATAACATATATTTTTTTTAATAGGAATACCCTATTTTTATTTTATATTTAGATTCTACGTACAATTCGGTAACTTTTTTTGCATATGATATTATCTAAAATTAATAGACTTTGTAATAATTAAATTTGTTTAAAAAAATGTTATATTTCGGTACGCGGTTAGAGGCTCTCGCGAGACCCGTCCATACTTAACGAATCTGGAATGTCTCGCGCTTGTCTCGCGCTCGTCTCGTCAGGTCTGGACGCACCTTAATAAGTTTTGATGGAATTCCCTAGTCAGGACACTACAGCCCAGGACAAGATGAAAGTGCCATGATAAGGAGATTCCCCCTAGCACCTCTGACTAGGAGCTTTCCCACCAACAACAAGGTCTCGCGTCTATTAGAGGAATTCATTAAAAAAAAATGCATTACCTTTTACTGAATGTTTTCTGGAAACTTTCCTTCTATCATCGTGTGAAAGAGTTTTCATGAATTTTAAAGGTGCGTAAATAGGAGAGCAACATACAGTAACATCCACTCTGAACCCTGAAAAAGACACTGATTTTAGTTTATGCATAACTTCCTTAAAAATGTTTTGATATGAACTATAGAAGAGCAGCATATTATTGAAAAAATACTGTTTAAAGTTTATGCATAATTTTCTTGTATATGAGTCTCACTTGTTAAATAATGTGACAAATGAATTTTAAATTTATTTTAAATAATAGTTTGTGTCTGTCCAACGAGTTGTTTCCATCCAAAAAATGATAGAAAATACTAGCGATGGGAACTATTGAATGAATTAGACTATCGAATGGTTAATGAATGAATGATTTCAACTATCGAATGGTTTTATTCGATCATTTATTTTAAAATCATTCATTCATTTGTATACTAAAGCATATGTGACAACCTCGCCGTGCGACCAAATGGTTATCGTTGCGCCACGACTATCGAATGCTTTTGATAAATGAAAAATGAAATTGAGTATTCGTTTGATTTTTGTATGCGTCAGTGCATTATTAGTTCTTCCAAATTTTTATAACTTCGCCGTATAAATACTGTGCTATTTTTGCGTTTATTAAAATAGTTGAAATACTAAAATAGTAGTTATTTTTTAATTTTATTTATTGACGATTGTGTGCATGTGCAGGTGGTCAAAATTTTTCCCAAAATTTGTATGGTTTTCCGTAGTCCGATCTTTCAACTATTTAATTTTATATGGTATATGGTCTATTTTTTAATAGGAAATTTTGAGAAGTAGCAATTTTTAAGAGAGATAAGATGAATTAATTTTAAAAATACATATTTGTATTTTAGATGTTTTAATAATATGAATTAGTTGAACTTAATAATCATATTTAAGTAATGTGGTTAAGTAAATGGTTATCGAACTCAAACTATGGGGTGAGAAAATTAAAATGAAAGTTTTACACGTGTCAATTTAAAAAAAAAATTAACGATGTTTGTATTTTGTTTATGCTAATTCTCTTACATGTAGTTTTTTGCGAAGAAATATTTCATTTATTTTTTAAAGTAAATGCCAGTAAAAGTAAATATAATTTTTAAATAGAAATATGAAGCACCTAATATAAATAATTTTGATTTCTAATTTTTTATTTATATTTTCGTTCCATTACACTGCATGATTAGAAAATTAATAAATGTTTATATTTCATGATTTTAAAATTTGTTGTTAATATAACAAATTAGTTCTGTAATTATTATTATTCAATAAACCAACGTTGCCAAAAAATTTAGAGACTATATTATTTTTAAATAGGATCTAATATAAATAATTTTGACATCTAATTTGTTGTTTATATTTTGCTACTACTTAAAAAAAATATTTATATTAAATCATTTTAAATTTTGTTGTTAATAGGTATAACAAATTATTACTGTTATTATTATTTATTAAACCAGTCTTTGCTTAAAAACATTAAAAATCATTTTCTTACATCCAAAATAACAAGTATTATTGCAGTGTAACAACAGAATATTAATAAAAAAAAATGCAGAATATATAGACATACTATCCCTAACTAACTAAAGCCAAACAATAATATTCTTTGCTAATATCAACTAATACCAAAATATGGCAACAGCGCCCTTCATAATGTATTTTCTGTGTAAATACTAGCACCTCAATAAAAAAAATAATGTGTCGTTATCTATATCTGACTCCGCAAAAAATCAAAGATGCCGGCTTCTTTCATAGCATTGCCACCGACCGCTGTCGGGTTTGGAAACCTACGTCGCCGGGCGACAACTAAAATTCAGTTAATATTTTATTATAATCGATCCCTGAAAAAGATACTGATTTTAGTTTATGCATAACTTCCTTAAAAATGTTTTGATATGAACTATAGAAGAGCAGCATATTATTGAAAAAATACTGTTTAAAGTTTATGCATAATTTTCTTGTATATGAGTCTCAGTTGTTAAATAATGTGACAAATGAATTTTAAATTTATTTTAAATAATAGTTTGTGTCTGTCCAACGAGTTGTTTCCATCCAAAAAATGATAGAAAATACAATCTATAATTAATGCACTATGTTAATTTATTTTGTGTAATATGTTCATTAAGTTAGTTTCCAGTTTTAGACAAAATTATACTGCAATTTGGTTCTAAAATGACCTAATTTATGGCATTATATTAATGTACAACGTAATTATAAGCTTATTACTTAAATATTGCATGCTATTAAAATTATATTATTGATTTTCCGCTAGTTTATGCAGTAGAAACAATGCTGTATCTATTTAAATAAAATTAAAATACTAATAGATACAGTTTGATAGATTTTGTTACAAAAATTATTGTTTTAAAGTTTTTATAATACTATGGCCAAACGTTTAATGTAGATTTATGTATACCTAAATAAGGCAAGCTGTAGAACACATCTTCTTCAGAATTAACCCTGACCAATTCTACATCTCCTCGATTTTGAACAGGGTTATCGTTTATATCATCTTCGTCATCTTGTTCTTCGTTGCCTTCATCGGGGTGAAACTTCTGAATAAAAGCACCTAAAACCACAGAAAAAAAATCGATTTAAATGATTTATGATATTTATTCGTAATTTTGTAGTATATGGTTGTCAATTATTATTATTTATTTAGAATGATTAGTATTACAAGGGTATTACCGTCGTTCATTACGCCATAATAAAAAAATCTGTCTTCGATGTCTCCATAGCCTGTGTAAACATTGTTGCCTGGTTTCTTGATACTTGTTCTGTGGTCGTATCTTAGAGCAATCTCTCTTTGATATTGGTCTTGCTAGAGTAAAGAAAAATAATCTTAAAAAGCTGGTTTAAGTATCCAAAGGTGTGTTTTACGAAAAACCAAAACAAATTATTATTAAAGAAAAAAAATTAATCTATTCGTATGAATATAATAAAAATAATTTGATTATATATTATTTTTTACTTGCAAATACATGTCGTTGTGGGCTAGCACTATCCTCCTCAGTCTCATGTGCATCATCCTTTGTTTTTGAGACCATTCCATGTCTTTAGTGGGGGGTATTGGCATAGCAACAAACCAGGAGTTTTTGAAAAAATAACTGTACTAAAAAGATAATCAAAAATGTATTTTTGATGTTTGTAAATAACGAATATTATTGAAAACTGGTAATGGTACTGCAAAATAAACTGGTAAACAGGATTAAAAAATATGGCTGCACGTTTACCAACCTTCGCAAAGAAATTATCACCGGTTTTTCTTTCAAAATGTACGATTCTCTCGCAAAATTTCGAACAATCCAGTAAATCCAGTATCTTGCAACCGCTCAAGACACACGAATTGGTTAACGGTTCCTCGTTGGTCTTGTCAAAGTGTACACAAAATGATTTCGTCATTTGGATGATCTTCATCACTTCTTGCGGCAAGGACTAGAATTTATTTTAATGTTTACAGCATGTCTTAAATCGATTTAAAATAAAAGCAGAATTAGCGAGACACCCTGTGCGAGACTATTTTTTTGTATAAAGTACCATACAATCGAAAAAAAAAACGGCGTCGAAGACGGCTGGAGAATGACAACCATATGTAAATAGTATAAAATTGGAGAATTTTTTTTTGGAAATGGATTTGTGGGTCTGGGAACATTCTATCTTTTTTTAATCTTTAAAGTAGTAATTTTTAACAAGTTTTATGTCAATTTTTAGTAAATAACGTCTAGAGATTGACCTCGCCAAAATTATCATCGATTGTCATACCCTAGCCGTCTATGACGCCGTTTTTTTTTCGATCATAATGTATTAGTTTTAGCTTACGTAATCCCGTAGTACAGGGGCGGCATATAACTGACATGGACAGTGAGAAAACTTGTAAAAGAAGCTCTCGTGTGTATCGATGATGAGTCCCGCATACATGCAGAAACGTGGTGTCCTGTAATAGTCGTTATAGACGTACCTCCAAATGGTTGCTACAATGATGGCGTACTGAAAATAAAAATAAGAATTATGTAAACAATACAGGGTGAGTTTTAAAGAAGTGCAAATATTTTAGGGGCTGGTAGCTAGATCTCGATAAAAGAAACACGTTTTCTCTTTACCGTTTTTCAAAAGTCCAATTGAGAAAATTGATTTTTTTTTTAAATTTTCAGAACCACTGGATTTTTTCTGGGGTTTCTTTTTTGTAAACTTAATCTACTACCTTTGTTGTCACAGTATCAAGATATTGTGTTTTTAACAAAAATTAAAAAAAAAATCGATTTTTTTTCAAAATTTTCAATATTTTTTTGAAAAAAAACCTCATATACGTGTTTATGGAGTCGAAATATACCTCCCGTAAAAATATTTGCAATTATTTAAGACACACCCTCTATATTGAATTTTGAAAGCCAGACCTATTTTGTAATCTTTAAAAATTGAAAAAAAAATTCAAAATGTTAGTTTTGATTTAACTGCTTTTATGTTTTATGTTTGCTTTATTGTTAAAAATACGAAAATCTTATCTATAAAAATTGGGTACATATAAAAAATAATTATCTCTGATTTTTCTATTTGCTAAATTTATTAGTAATATTTTGCTTCTCAATATTCTCTACGTCGCTAGACAGATTATACCGGGTGTTTTTTAAATGAGTGCAGGTATATTTTGACTACATAAACAAGTTAATTAAGATTTTTTTTGCTATTCATGAAAAATTTTAATTTTTCGTGACATTTTTTTGGCACTTAAAATAATGTTGTAATTTTGTCAAATTAAAAAAAAAAATTAGTGCAATTTAGATTCATTCTCCTGAAATTTAACAGTGTTGTCAAAGCCTTGCAATGTTGCCACTTCCTACAACATCCCCATTCTATATATTTGTTTGTTTATAATAATTTTATAATATTCTACAGCAACAATTTTCTGTGATTTTTCTAAGGCGTTCGATTGTGTAAATAATAAGAGCTTAATTAATAAACTGCAGCACTATGGGTTCAGGGGATTATCTCTCGAATGGTTTAAATCGTATCTGAGCAACAGAAGTCAACTTGTGAGGGTGGATACCACGTTGTCTTCTAACAAGCCAATAGAATGTGGAGTACCACAAGGCTCAGTACTAGGCCCTATTTTGTTTCTTCTTTTTATTAACGACATTGCTAACATAAACATCAGTGGCAAAATATGTCTTTTTGCGGACGACACTAGCTTCACTTGGAGCAACAAGGACATCACGGCACTTCATAGGATTGTATCAAATGACTTAATCACCATTAAATCTTGGTGCGATTCGAACCTCCTGATCTCAACATATCTAAAACTAAAGCTTTGTCGTATAAAAACTCGTTGCAGCCTTTTGTACTTAACAACACCACCATTGACGTCGTAAAATCTGTAAAATTCTTAGGGCTTGTTGTGGACAATTCTCTGAAATGGGATATACATATCGAAGCTATGTCGAAAAAATTGAGCTCTGCCTGTTTTGCATTAAGGTCTGTTTCTAAGGAGCTTAACTTGTCAGTGGCTAGAACTGTTTATTATGCACTTTTTGAGTCGCACCTCAGGTATGCCCTTCCATTCTGGGGTACGTGTTGTGCGACTCAATTTGACCGCATTTCCAAGCTCCAGAAGAGAGCTGTTCGATATTCACTGGGACTAAACAGCAGAACTCATTGCCGGGACTTTTTTAAAGAATTAAAAATATTGACTCTTCCTTCCTTATTTATATTTGAACCCGTTGCCTAATCCGTAAACATGTATCAGCTTCTCAAGAAAGGCCATCTCACGCTTATCCACTCAGGAACGCGGAGCAAGATCTTTATCTACCTACCCCACGCTCAGAGTTAGTTAAAAGTTCAATATTATACAACTCGAAAAAAATGCACAATCACCTGCCATTTGAAATCATGTAAAAAATAAGATTTATTTTTCATATCCACATATTGTTTATTTTAAACAATAAGATAAAACTGACAATATTATTTGTATAATGTTTTGTATTATCTTTTGTTTGTTTGTTTGTGTACCTTGTTTTTTTACTTTGTTTGTTAGTTTACCTTTGTCTACAAATTGAAAAATTTTTTGACAATAAAGGCATTTATTTATTTATTTATTATTATTTGTAAGTATAGAGTAATTTTAATTTTCTACACAATAAATTACCAAAATTAAATTTGATTAAGTTAGTGGTAATAATTATAAGAGATTATAAGACGCATTGTACGTATTTTTTAACACACACTGATACATTTATACAGGCACATATTTTAAAGCAAACTGAAAAAATAAATCTTAACAATAATTGTTGCAAATTATTTTATTGACATATTCGAAAGCATTTTCAATTTGATCATTTGGCAACACAGGCTAGCGATTCTGTAAACATATTTCCTGTCTAGTGACTCATCAATCGTCTACAAATAACATAGGCTAGACAGGAAATTTCTTGCTACGGAGTTTACAGAATCCCACTGCAGGGCCTCGATGCCGGCGGTTCTCAAAATGTCAGCATTATTTTTTGTGTACATTTTTAAAATAACTCCCTCAAAATACTTGCATTTTATTTATGAGACACTCTCTGTAGGTACGTCTATCATAATAAAAAACTTAGAAACTGTATACAGTCTAACGTTACCTGTAAATTTAAAATTTCTAACATACACAATAATTTTGAAATGCACTTAATTTCCATGTCATCTCTGGTATATCCCAAGCTTATATCCGTCATCCTTATAAGATTCTGTATTTTCTTCTCCAAACATTTAAAACCGATATTTAACATATCTTCTGCAACAGTCTTGAATCTTCTATTAACCAGACGAATTTTGGTACCTAAAATTCAATTTCTTTAATCATTTAAACCTGTACTTTGCATGGAAATTATGTAGTACTTAATTCATGATATGAAATACGTTTGAATATATTTTGTAGTACTTCTGTAGGCACAAACATGATAGGGTTCTTCCTCTTTCCAAGCTCAGTGCTGCGATAGAGCAGCTGACTGGTAGAGCATTGCTCTTTATCACTGTATTTTTCAGAAAGTTTCCTTCTTTTGGCTCGGGTATAGTACCCACTGGGACTGTCCACCTCGTGGTCACTCTCATCGTTGATTTCTTCCGATTCATCCATCTTTTTTCCCTTTTTTTCAAATTTTTCGAGTGATGTTTATAGTGCTTTTATTTTTTTATTTGAAATGTAGAAATTTTAGAAAATACTTGTATAAATTTAATGGTCGTTCATGTCTATTTGTTTTGATAATTCGACTTTTGAATGGTTTTGACGTTATCCTTTTTGATCGAATGTCAAAAATGGTTTAAACCTGGTTTTAAAACTAATTGGTCGAAAGGTGATTAAAAGATCCCTTTCAAAAATCACTCAGAAATGAAATCATCCAGTTTAATCATTAGGGTGCGACAAAAAAAATTTACTTACCATGAAAAAATTCTGGTAATGTTTGAGCTCTTTCTATTTTCCATTTAAACACGGGAAACATATTTTTTTGAACATTTCTTTTAATAATTATTTTTTATACAAGACGATAAAATGGTATTTTATCGACGACCCAAAAGATTAATTCACGAGCGATGAAATCGGGAGTGAATTAATTTAGGGAGATGATAATGCAATTTTATCGTCGTGTATGAAACAATATTTTTTTCAATAGCGAGTTACGTTAAAAAAAAATCAGAAATTATTATTTCAAACTTTGAATAAGAAGACTAAGGAAGGAGCATAATGCTATCCATGTATTCATGCATGGTGGGCGGAAAAAGCACCATAAAAGCACTCTAGGGTGGGGATCCTTGACAGTTCTGTTTGACGATTCATTTGACACATTTGAATTTGATTTGAAATTTTGTGGATTTGTCACTCTTTACGGGGCTTATTTTATGCTATTTATTATTTATTCTACTACTGATAGTTGTATAAAGGTAGTAAACCTAGATGGAAATTGTGGCAGAACTTAAATTAACAGTGACACTATCGCGATTTATCGAAAAAGACTCTAAAATAGTTGTGTAGCGTGCGGTAGATCTCGGCAAAAATTGAGTGAAATAATGGAACAACTTTTCTCTAGTAAGTGACTATATAATATACTAGGAATAAGACGAGTATAAAATATAAAATAAGGATAATCTTTTCAAATAGAAGTGTTGGTGATCAATCCGATTGGCAGGTACTACCCATCAATTTTAACAATAGTTCAACTATGGAAAATCAGACGTGTAAAAAGGATAAGGAAAAAGAAGAACCTACAGTGATTTCATATATAGGCCTATTTTTGTATATAATTATGATGTTTGTATCATCTACGATAATAGTATTTAGTACCTGTGCCAAAATATCAAAAAGTAAATGTATTGCGTACTTAAGTACTTAGTATATTAAAATTTGTATTTGTTTTTTATTCACCCTGTATATAACATAAGAGAGGATTGATTGATGACGTATGACGAGTTTAACGTATGACAGATGACCTTTGACAGATGGCATTTGATGTTTGACATTTGACAGGTGACAGGTTTGACGTTTGACATTTGACAGATTTGACGTTTGACAGGTGACAGCCCCTCCTTCTTGCGCATGCCTAGTGCCCCTCCTCATAGCGCATGTGCAGTGCGTCACCGCCACCGCCACTGGCGCAGAATCAGCCATCTACCTCTACTTACAGTTCGTCTGCTGGATATGTGTCTATGAAAGGAATGCGGACAAAAAACATTTAAATAAACAGCAATATATTTTATACGTCGACTTGACGAGTACGTCACCGCAAATCGCTCCGCCCACTCATTTTATTGGCTACTTGCAAATTTGTCGAATTTTTATTGATGGGACGCGTCGTCTAATTTTTTACGAAAAACATCGAGAGAATATCGTTTTCCCTCTCACGGATACCCCGTAGCCACAGAACGGACAGACGTACTGTAGGTGTAGTAAACCGATCATTTATAAAATTCACTTAAATTAACTAAATTATATATTATTTTGCATTTTAGCTTTTATTTATTACTTGTCAAAGATTAGATTTCAAAGAATTTAGATACGTTAATTTGACTTACCTGCTTCAGTAGCGTATCGGATGTTTGTGTTAATAAATACTTACTATAACTTATCTATTTTTATCAGAATTATATATTTTTATAACAATTTTAATAACTACCAACATTTATTCACAACGTAAAATAAAACAACAAATTATTGAGTCTACCCCACGTCTACCCTACATCATAGTTTTACATTTTTTAAATAAAATTAGAACGACACTGATAAACCGGAATTTAAGTCGGCCATATTTGAGGCCCATCGCGGTGTACCTAAGATTTTTGATATGCTGCTTCCTTAGTCTTCTTATTCAAAGATTTCAAAAATTTATTACGATTAGAAAAAATATTGTGCTGGGTTGGCGTTGGTTTCTATGTAATTTGACAAATAAATAAAGCCGTCTCTTTAGTTGTCAGTTTTGAGTCAATATTTTTTAATTCTCTTTCGTGTCGATTGCTGATTGAATTGGAGCCAGAAATGGCTCAAAACGAAATAAGTAAATTACCAACAGATATTCGGGCTGAGACGACAAAGGCCATATCCAAACTACCTCCATTTAAATCCCGAATAACTTATGAAAAGGAATACAAAAATTTTCAAAAATGGAAGCACACAGAAGAAATAAAGTTTTTAACCTATCCTCGCTGTTAAAATATCATTTAATCTACCTTTGCGGTTAAAGTGCTATTTTTGATAGATAAGGCAATTTTAGCAGTTGCTATGGGAAAAAAATCAAAACATATTCTTGTAAGAAATTGAACGGTTTTCAAAAAAGGTCTGATATGATTTTTCACTTAAACGACTTTGGATCAAACAAAAATTAGAGGCAATCTATACACTTATCACTTTGGATGAGATTCCTCTAAGATGATTAATAAAAGTGACAAATATAAATGAGCATTAAGTCGACAGGCTGGTTATAAGTAGGCTGTGATTTAAGCTATCATCTTAAATGTTGGTATGAAAATTAAATTTTTTGTAACTTAATCATAATAAGCTCTTTGACTATATTTTTTGATACTTTATTATTGTTTTCTAAGTCATTATTTGTGAATATATCAGTAGAGCTAGTTCATTTATTTCGTAACCCACCTAAAGTACATATAATATGATTTTGGCAGCTTATTCTTAGATATAAGAATTGCAGCAAAAAAAAATGAATATTCAAAAAACTCAACTATACAGGGTGAGTCTAAATAAGTGCAAATATTGTTAGGGGTAGTATATTTCGACCCCAGAATTTTTGAAAATTTGTAATTTTATGAAAAAGGTCTTAGTTAAAAAACACAACTTCTTGATAATGTGGCAACATAGGTAGTAGATTAAATTTACAAGAAAGAAAACCCAGAAAAATGCAGCGGTTCTCAATATGTTTAAGCAACAAATATTTTTTTTGGAAATTTTGAAGAGAAAATATGTTTCTTTTATCGAGATTAAGCCATGAAAATATTAGCACTTACTTATTTTTGTCTAAACCAGTATGGAAATTTTGAAAAATATCAGGGAGATTAATCAATTAATCGTTATAGAACAAGCAGAAACTTTTATGAAGAATCAATGAAAGTATGAAAAATATTTTATTTTAAAAATTGGGAATGTATATGTAAATATAAGAATAATATAACAGATTTACATTAAGCTGAAGAAACTAGGTATTTAACAGAAAATTTATTAGTTTACCTATATAAAAAAAAATACTTAAGATACTAAATTAATTAAATTATTTTTGAGGTTTCTCCTCTTTAACGGGAACATTCTTGATTTTAAACTTATTAAACTCTTCCCAGGGCGAATTCAAATCAAATTGTCTAAATTCTTGAGCAAATTCCACTGGTTCCAGTACTACTCGTTTTTTTATATCATCGTACCTAAAAAACAATAATTTATAATAATATTACAGACACGTAAATTTTTTTTTTCAACTTTTTGGAAAACCCTGTAGTATACCAATGTATGTTCGTACCTAGATTCGTAGTAGCCGCTCATAGGGAAGTCCTTTCTTAAGGGATGCCCTTCAAACCCGTAGTCTGTCATGATCCTTCTTAAATCTGGATGGTTTGAAAAAAATACGCCATGAAGATCCCATACTTCTCTTTCTGACCAGGTGGCAGACTTATACACTCCTATTTTTTCCAGAAAAAATAAGCTATATAAATTAATAAGTAAGTATAGAATATAATTTAATATAAGCTTGGTGCATTTTAGTTGATTTCAACAAATTCCGACCGCAGCTCACTCTACGGCAGAATTCAGAAATTATCAATATATAGTTCACGCCGCCGTCATGTCGATCGCATTAAAATAATATTGAAATCGGGGTTTTATCATAATATTTAAGTATTTTAGTTTTTTGCTAGTGCAGTTATTGAGACTAGGAAACACTCAGATACGAGGTTTGTGTGATGTAACGCTGTTTCGGGTAGTAAAAAATAAATGAAAAAGAATTCGAACTAGGCGTCTTATGGTGTTGTGACAATTTCAAATGTTAATAAAATTGACCAAAAAAATGTTAACGCGTAAAGCGCCATACTCACACTTCGCTACTTCACTTCCTTCCTTCGTCGCCGTCCCTTCCTCCAAAAATCTTATATTTACTATGGGAAATGTCGATTTTATGCGACTGTGTGTTCCTTCGTTCCTTCGTCAAAACGCTCCTTCGTCCGTTTACTACCTTGAAACGCTCCTTCCCCGTACTGTCGGTTTTTGGACGAAGTAGCAAAGGAATTATCACGAACACAAGAAAATATTAAAATATATAAAATATATAAATCGATCTTGGATTTCATTCGTAGTTGATTTCTTGATTTGGCAGTACGTCTGTACAGGGTGTCCCATTTTCGTGTGTTTTGCAGGGTTTCTCGTTTACGAGTCGAGATACAAAGATGCGGTTTTCACATTACGTTGTTACTTTTTTATGAAACTAAAGATGCTACATACAGATATGTCCTAGTCTCTTACTTTCTAAAATACAGGGCGAATCTGAAATTATTGCATTTTTCGATCCCCTTTGTATCATAACTTATCCAAAAGGTGAGAACGGTCTCCCGTACAGTTTTTCACGTAGAATGCAGTGACGTAACTATTTCTTCGTTGGAATCTGTCTTTTTTAAATTGACTAAAACTTATATGTTTTTTTTAAATGCGATATTTTGTATATTATTTTATTTTCCTTGTTATGGGCTTTCTAAAATACTTATTTTCATAAACGGGGTAAAAATGCATTATTTAACTTTATTACATAGTCGGCCGGTTTAAATTAGGTAATCAAAACAATCAACTAATTTATTCGACGTAAAATGTTGGTTATTGGCATGTTATTTAAAAGCAGCGCAAGTTCAGTTTCCGTGTAGTTTATCAAAATATCACGATGCAAAGCAAAATTATCTGGTAAAACTAAGTTAAATAAAATAAGAGCCGTTTAGCAGTTTAGCAGTACCTAAATAAATAAATATAGAGTATATTATAATTTTAGAAAGCTCATAACAAAGCAAATAAAAAATAATATATAGAGTGTCCTGTTTAAAAAAAAGAACATAAGTTTGAGTAATTTTTCGAAATAGACAGCTCCCAACGAAGAACTAGTTTCCTCACTGCATTCTACCTGAAAAACGAGACACGGGTGGTGGGTAAGTACTCAATAGGTAGAACAAAACAAAATCAGGGTATCCTCCGTGTGCATGATGCCTTTACAAAAATATCTGAAGAAATGGGGATTGACATCAACGTTTAATTAGTATGTCATATTTCATAGTTTCGATATAAATTACATAATAAACTTTACTCTATTGTAGACTCGCCTTGTACATTCATACTGATATACCTTGTACATGATACTGAAATATTCGGATTTATTAGAAAAAAATATATATTATTAAAATTCAATTTTTATTTTTGACACGACAAAGAATTGCAGTTTTATAAAATAAAAATTATGCGCCTTTCGGATTTTTTAAAATTTTTAGAGGTTATATTTCGTAATAAACATGTAGCAGCTATATTAAAAATATTTTGTGGTGTGTTGTTGCATAATCGACTAATTTCCAAGCATCCAATGGACGAAAGAAGGAAGCGAAGGGACGAAGGAACGAAGTGAAGTGACGAAATAACGCGAGGAAGGACGAAGGAGCGAAGTGTGAGTATGGGGCTTAAAGGAGAGCATAATTAAAGCGTTGTTGGGTGCAATAACATTCAATATCTCAACTTTCCCGGATATTCAACTCTCCCAAAACAACATTTTATAGCTTCATAATTTCTTACACCGATTTGATCAATAGCAAAAATGGATTCAAGCAGATGAACGAAGCAAATGAGTAAACAAAGTGCTCGTTATATAATCAAAAAATTAAATATTTAGACATATACTATGAGAGGATGAAATATAATTTGTGTGTGTGCAATATTAATGGTATATTTTTTTAATCAACTAGTGATAAATGTTTTATGAACATCTTCCCAAATTATACAGAGGTATGCCAATATGTGACCATGATTAGAATGATGATTCCATCACGTATCACTGACGGAAACAGTATCTTCTAGAACTCTCAGCTCAGGAGCTTGGAACGCCCTCAAAAGGAACATTCCACTCCCCAAGAACCTGGAATGAAATATCTGGAAAATACCTGTAACAGAATCCAGTGGAGTTAACTCATCCGTGTACGTCTTAACTTGAAGTCTAGAATTGTATCTCAATGAAAGCAGATTATAAATGACTTCAAAGCGATATGGTCTGCTAGGCACATCTATGGCACATACTTCCATGAGACACTCCATTTGGGAGTTGTGATGATCTTTGAGAAACTGAAAAAAAATTGTACTAAAATTCTTCAACAGTAAAAAAGTTCAGTAGTAGTTTTAACTTTTTTTTATACAGGGTCCCAAGCAGCATTTGGACGTCGGGACAACGTTGTGTCACGCGACCAAACGTCGGGGCGCAACGTCGGCACAACCTCGTGCCAACCCTAGTCTGCACTAGTTTGGAGAATAATTTTTGGGTCGAAACGACGTTGGATACCGACGTTGGCTAGAAGCCTAATTTAGTACAAAGTGCAACGTTGTTTAAACCTAATTTACCAGAAATACAAACTAAATCCCGAATAACTTATGAAAAGGAATACAAAAATTTTCAAAAATGGAAGGACACAGAAGAAATAAAGTTTTTAACCTATCCTCGCTGTTAAAATATCATTTAATCTACCTTTGCGGTTAAAGTGCTATTTTTGATAGATAAGGCAATTTTAGCAGTTGCTATGGGAAAAAAATCAAAACATATTCTTGTAAGAAATTGAACGGTCTTCAAAAAAGGTCTGATATGATTTTTCACTTAAACGACTTTGGATGAAACAAAAATTAGAGGCAATCTATACACTTATCACTTTGGATGAGATTCCTCTAAGATGATTAATAAAAGTGACAAATATAAATGAGCATTAAGTCGACAGGCTGGTTATAAGTAGGCTGTGATTTAAGCATTTAATCATCTTAAATGTTGGTATGAAACTTAAATTTTTTGTAACTAATTCATAATAAGCTCTTTCGCTATATTTTTTGATACTTTATTATTGTTTTCTAAGTCATTATTTGTGAATATATCAGTACTAATCACCTAAAGTACATATAATATGATTTTGGCAGCTGATTCTTAGATATAAGAATTGCAGCAAAAAAATATGAATATACAAAAAACTCAACTATACAGGGTGAGCCTTAGATAAGTGCAAATATTTTTAGGGGTAGTATATTTCGACCCCAAAATTTTTGAAAGTTTGTAATTTTATGAAAAAGGTCTTAGTTAAAAAACACAACTTCTTGATAATGTGGCAACATAGGTAGTAGATTAAATTTACAAGAAAGAAAACCCAGAAAAATGCAGCAGTTCTCAATATGTTTAAGCAACAAATATTTTTTTGGAAATTTTGAAGAGAAAATATGTTTCTTCTATCGAGATCTACAAGTCCTGAAAATATTAGCACTTACTTATTTTTGTCTAAAACAGTATGGAAATTTTGAAAAGTATAAGGGAGATTAATCAATTAATCGTTATAGAACAAGCAGAAACTTTTATGAAGAATCAATGAAAGTATGAAAAATATTTTATTTTAAAAATTGGGAATGAATATGTAAATATAAGAATAATATAACAGATTTACTTTAAACTGAAAAAACTAGGTATTTAACAGAAAATTTATTAGTTTACCTATATAAAAAAAAATACTTAAAATACTAAATTAAATAAATTATTTTTGAGGTTTCTCCTCTTTAACGGGAACATTCTTGATTTTAAACTTATTAAACTCTTCCCAGGGCGAATTCAAATCAAACTGTCTAAATTCTTGAGCAAATTCCACTGGTTCCAGTACTACTCGTTTTTTTATATCATCATACCTAAAAAACAATAATTTATAATAATATTACAGACACGCAATTTATATTTTTTTCAACTTTTTGGAAAACCCTGTAGTATACCAATGTATGTTCGTACCTAGATTCGTAGTAGCCGCTCATAGGGAAGTCCTTTCTTAAGGGATGCCCTTCAAACCCGTAGTCTGTCATGATCCTTCTTAAATCAGGATGGTTTGAAAAAAATACACCATGAAGATCCCATACTTCTCTTTCTGACCAGGTGGCAGACTTATACACTCCTATTTTTTCCAGAAAAAATAAACTATATAAGTTAATAAGTAAGTATAGAATATAATTTAATATAGGCTTGGTGCATTCTCCGCCGGTGCTGCCACCATCGGAGAATATCGTAAACAAGTAGTACATTCAAATACACGGGTTTAAATAGCGAGTATACGAAAAAATTATTATTTAATTATTCTAAAAGTGTTAAAACGTATAATTTGTGAAAATTCTAAAAATAAAAATAAAAAAGTAAATATTTTGATACCTTCAGAAGGACTAACTTGTATTGTAATTAATTATTGCAGTTAAAAAACTTTTTAGATGAGTTCAAATACGGTAGCGAGCATAGTTTTAATCACCGGTTTTGCTAGTGGGGCATAATTGGGGCTATTCCGGGTATTACGACATTTTTTAAAGGTACATAATTATAATTTTAGAAGATGTTCATAAAATATTTAATCACTAGTTGATTTAGAAAAAAAGTATACCATCAATATTGCAAATTATATTTTATCCTCTCATAGTAAATGTCTATTTAATTTATTGATTATGTAACGAGCACTTTGTTTACTCACTTGTTTCGTCGAACTGCTTGAATCCATTTTTGCTTTTGACCAAATCGGTGTGAGAAACTATAAAGCTACAAAATGTTGTTTGGGGAGAGTTGAATATCCGGGAAAGTTGAGTTATTGAATGTTATTGCACCAAACAACGCCCTAATAACGTTCTTATAATTCTTCTATAATTAACATTATAAATTGTCACAACACAACACGACGCCTAGTTCGAATTCTTTTTCACTTATTTTTTGCTACTCAAAACCGCGTTATATCACACGAACCTCGTACCTGAGTTTTTTATAGTCTTAATAACTGCACTAGCATAAAACTAAAATACTTAAATATTATGACAAAACCACGATTTCAATATTATTTTAATGCGATCAACACGTCGGACTATGGTTTCTAGAAGCTACTTCTTTGGCCAAAATTAAACAACTTACATTTAATGGAATATACTGACTGTAAATTTGTGTTTTTAATAAAATAATAAAATACTAATAAACAAAAACTGAATAGGCACAAATACTTCACTAGAACTTCTGAATATAAATGCTGATAAGGAATAAAAATGAAAACTAAACAAAAATATATACATGTGGTCTTCTTCATTTGTATATCTGCTTGCATTCCACTTACAAAAAAAGTCCATATATAGTGAGTCTAAATATGTATTTTGGCCAAAAATTAGCTTCATAGTGCGGCGGCATGAAATAAGTAGGTACTCATAATTTCTGATTTCTGCCGTTGAAGCGCTGCGGTCGGAATTTGTTGGAATCAACTGAAATGCACCAAGCCTATAGAGGGGTATGCCAATGTGACCATGATTAGAATGATGATTCCATCACGTATCATTGACGGAAACAGTATCTTCTAGAACTCTCAGCTCAGGAGCTTGGAACGCCCTTAAAAGGAACATTCCACTCCCCAAGAACCTGGAATGAAATATCTGGAAAATACCTGTAACAGAATCCAGTGGAGTTAACTCATCCGTGTAAGTCTTAACTTGAAGTCTAGAATTGTATCTCAATGAAAGCAGATTATAAATGACTTCAAACCGATATGGTCTGCTGGGCACATCTATCGCACATACTTCCATGAGACACTCCATTTGGGAGTTGTGATGGTCTTTGAGAAACTGAAAAAAAATTGTACTAGAAAATCTTCAACAGTAAAAAAGTTCAGTAGTAGTTTTAACTTTTTTTTTATACAGGGACCCAAGCAGCATTTGGACGTCGGGACAACGTTGTGTCACGCGACCAAACGTCGGGGCGCAACGTCGGCACAACCTCGTGCCAACCCTAGTCTGCACTAGTTTGGTGAATAATTTTTGGGTCGAAACGACGTTGGATACCGACGGACGTTGGCTAGAAGCCTAATTTAGTACAAACTGCAACGTTGTTTAAAATCCTAATTCATAGAAATACAAAACTAATATGGCGTCTAAGTCGCGTTTTATCCTAAATTGGGATAATTATAGTAAAAATATTATTTTTATGATTTAGTTAGAGACATATGTCAGATGGCAGTGAAGGAAAACAAAACAAAAGTATTTAAGTGTGGAGGATGTTTGAAGATCATAATTATTGAAACACTTTAACCGACTCTGTAACTCGTTACCCAAGGTAAAAAGTTAAACGCAAACAACTTTATTGATAAATGTATTGTTTCTACTTTAAAAAATACTAATGGGCCTTGAAATTAAAGAAGTTTTAAAAATTTTCTTGAATTTTTTTTTTAGTAAAATGAGAATAATTTATTCGCATTCGAAAAAATTGTTTCCGCGTATTTTTTAGGGTCAAATATTTCAAGTTAATGTATTCAAAAAGCAGGAATTGCTATTTTAAGAACGAAACATTTTCTTATTTAACAACATGGCGGCTTTAACTTTGTTGTTTTGGAGATTAAGATGGAGTAGTTCGAGTAGTCGCATACTGGACTAATAAAGTCGCAGTTCGGCCTTAACAGGTAGTATACTAGTCGCAAGATTGCCTAATTTAGTCATTCTAGAGTCTAGCTTGTGCCGCCCTCTATAATCTAAATAAACGAGGAAGTGTCGGTAATATATGTCGATGTATATTTAAATTTAGTTTTATATGTACCTTTCTTATGTCCCATTTTAATTAAGTTTTTTTTTTATAAAAACAAAAACAGCACTGAACTGTCTGACTGAACAGAACAATGAATTGAAAATTTAAGATTTAAGGTTATGGTTCAATACAGTTGCAAAAAGGTAGTGACTCTACGTCCTACCAACGTAAGAATAAGGAAATCTAAACAACGTTGGAATTAGTAAAACAGACGACGTTTGCATAACGTTGGAATAGGTCCTGAAACTGACGTCGGAAAACTCTATATTATCCAACGTTGTAACTACGTTGTCCAAATCACCTAAAGATCACTTAAGCAAAAAAGGTTACAAGACAACGTTTATTCGACGTCGCAGAAGCTTCTACTTTGCTGTAGTACTAGTCCAACGTCGGCACAACGTTATAAAAACGTTTAAATTTATTTTAATACCCAAGGTAGGGAGCTAACTATTTTTTGTAACTAATCCAACGTTGTGTTTAGTAAACATGTGGTCGCAAGTCGTGAAAATGCTACTTGGGGAGTATTGTAGCTAAACGATTAGATTTTTACAAATTGTAAGTTTTGGGTTCGTTGAAGGACTATTAGAGCTACAATTTAAAAATATTTTTACAAGATACAAAGTGTCACAAATAAGCAAAAATTATTATAGTTGTATTTTTTCAAATGAAACACCCTGTATATTATTTTATTTTTAGATTCTACGATTAAAATAAAGGTAGATTTGATTAAGGTTTATCATACTTAAACCTTACCATTTTTGAAATATTTTCGATTTTATGAAATTGCAGTAAAAATTTTAAGGCTTCATTTCTCCAAGGGTATCCAAGTTCTTAATACTAAATATTTACTGAAGATTATTTATTGATCAGATATTGTGTTGCAATAATAAAAATGTTACTATCTTATACAGAGTGTCCAAAAATTTATATTAAATAATTACTAGCTTTAAACGGCAATAACTTGTTTAATTTAAACGGAACACCCTGTATATTTTACATGAATCATATGCACAATTTAATTGTCTATCAAATTTTATTATACAATTCTTTACCTATCTCTTCAAGTTTTCGTAGAAAATGCATTTTCTTTTAATCGTTTAGCTACAATACCCCGTGTCGTATGTGGTGAACAACCCTGTATATCATAATTAAATACACCAAACTTACTTGCATTACAGGAACTAACCCTTCTGGTACTACCAATAATTCTAGTTCTTTACAGTAATTAAATCTAACTTGTTCTATGTATTTTGGCAGACATTCTGCCACATATTTTCCAAATTCTTTCAATTGATCCGATGCGTCATACGGTTTTTTGTCATATTTTTTTGGTGGGCACAAATCACTACTAGAGGCTCTAGAAATTCGAAAATTTGTCGCTAAAGGTCTGAGATATTTTATGAAAGTTTTTTTAAACATTTCAAATACATATATGTTTAAAAATGACATATTATTAAATATATTGTTGTGGTATTTATGTCATGTATTACCTTTTTCAATATCTAGGTAAGTATATTTCTTTATCAGAAAAGTTTATTTCAAATATACAATATTACCAAAAAGATTTATACAGTCAAGAGTCAAGCATGCTTTGTATGACGACAGATGAACAAAATTCTTATGAAAATTAACCATTAAATAAAAAAGCAAAAATTAATTTTAGATTTTTTTAATTGTCCAAGCTAAGGCCCTCTTAATCATAGAACTACTGATCGTATTTAATTTTCAAAATAAATAATATTACATTTTATTAACTATTTCATTATGATTAATTAACAATTTACAAGTGTAGCTGGCAAAGAAACACTTAACCAGTGTAACAGTGTACTGGTGAAAGTTCAATAGGTACATTCAAGAATACACACATCCAATACTTTTTTTAATACATCCAATATAATATCCAATATTTTTTTAATTTTTTATTTAAGTGATATTTATATAAATAAATTTCTGAATATTCCCTTCGCCAAATTGTCAAGAATACTAAAATGCTAAATAAAGTTATTATACCTTTATCAATACAAAGAACCTTTATAAATAATTTTAAAAATTGAAATATAGGTTTATAGTCGTTCCAAATACAGTTATAAACTGTACCTATTTAATTATATTTGAAAATATTTCACATTTTTATATTCAAATATTAAAAGAAACCTTTCTTGAGAAACATGGATGGATAGTGTCTCGCCTTATACACAGATGGCACAGAAAAGTATACGATGTGGTATCTCTGATAACTGGCAGAAAATATCGAGATTTGGTATAATATCAGTGATTAAATGGTCGTAATAGCACTATAAAGCTATTTTAACCACTATAAATATCAATAAATTGCAAATAGACTAATGAATTATAAAATATATGCAACCAAAGATACATTTTCCTTGCGCCATCTAACGTGAAACTTGGAAAATCTGTCAATCTGTTTATTGCATTCGTCATCTCTGTCATTCCTGTCAATTTTCTCTTGCATAAAAATTTGATTACTAACGCAGCTGTTTCATCCGGTTTGCGTTAATTGTTGAAGTTCGTGATTGTGATATTTTGTTTTTGGCAAGGTATATACACAACGTGACACCGGTAAAAATAGTGTACGGTATTAGTTTAAACAATCCCAAAGGGTTTATTTATATCGCAACAGAGAGAAAGGGAATAACAAAGGTCCAACGGTGACGTCAGTCGTGTGCATCAGGTGATATTCGTTGCACATGCGTAGGTCCTGGAGCGCCAACATGGAACGAATTTCAAATATGTTTCATTCGGTCGGGCGCCCAACGTGCGATAATAACTTGCCGACAAAATGCCGTCAGAAGCGCTAGAAAAAAGTTCGAAAATTGTATTAAAAACTCTCAACATCATGGAACAAAACAATTCACAGGCGGAATTGGTGCGCGAAAGTGAGGACAATGCCGAGAAAGAAAGATCGTGGAAAGACGTGAAATTTATCGAATGGGTATCGGTTGGTGTTCTGTGTTACGTAAATTTAATTAATTATATGGATAGATTCACCGTTGCAGGTAATGTTAATTAATTCCATGTTTTATTAACCTAATTAACAATTAACTTGCCTTCACTTTCCGTGAATGTCAGAGTTTTTTCGACCTAAACTTTCTATTTAGAACAAGTTCGGTTGTTTTGTGTAAACGAAAATTTAAATAATTACATGAATAATTTACCATTGCGCCTAAACTTATCAAATTCCAAATGTTATTAACCCACTAACAGTACTACTTTACCTTCACTTTTCATCGAATGTCATATAGTTTTTTGCAAATACATTCTCAAACCGTTTTTGTTTACTGTTTTATAAAAACTGTCATTTTTAAACACTCGTGTGTAGATTTATTTTAATCTTATCTATTATCCATTAACTCATATAGAAGTGTATAGTTGTTTTCAAATTTTATATCAAGTATTGAATTTGATTTGATTATGTACAACTTACAATTTGGAAGACTATTTTTAAACAACATTGTAGTAAGTGAACAGATAACAATGCAAAACCAGACTAATGCCAACATACCTTAAGTTGTCAACCTATGATTTTGTTACTGGCAAATGTAATAATTTTAATATTTATCACTAATTAATAATTTATTGTTATTAGGTATTGTGAGCTACACAATTGAGTCTTGATAAAATACTACTATGCTGGAAATCATAGGCAGTATATCTGATATATTTTCGGTTAATTTTTCTGATAAACCTTGCAGAGGAGATAATATTTGGACAGTTCAAAGTTTGCATGAGATTTCCCATGTTTCCAAATTCGATGTACCACCCGGTATATTTTTAGGGGATGCCTATATCTCTCTTTGTGGCTTCTTTTTCTAAATTACCTTTACTATCTGTGTTGCCAGATTAATACGAGAGTATAATATTTAACTTATAAAGGATATGCAAAATTTCACACCTCGTCTATAGAGGGGGTAAGAAAAGGTGCGTTACTTTATTTTAGTGGGTATGTAGAGAATGTTCAGTCATCGTTCAGCGTCACGTCATATATTGTCGAACTCTCTCAATCATTTCTCGGCATTTCGTAAATTACTGCATATTCTTTTTAGTAATTGTCATTGTCATTTGATTTGGGGTTATAATTTTATTGACAGACATCGATCAATGTCAAAGTTAAAATTTGATGATGACGTACTGGTGAACGATGGCCAGTCTTTACCACAAACTTGTTATCAAAATAAACTGTCAGTTTTTGACAACATGACAAAATCTCAGGTTTATTATCTGTTAGATGCGATTCTGCTCATTATTGGCACGAAAATGTTTAGTGAATCCAAATGAAAAAATACTATTATTATTGTTGGTAAATTGGTGCTTATGAGATATGGCTCAATCGGAACGAAGTATTCAAATAGACAGGACAGACAGTGTTTTGAAGAAATTTACAGCGACTAAAGGATGTACTGTTTTTATTCACGTTAATATCAATATGCTGAACTATATGGATCGATTTACTATAGCAGGTAAAGATGCTTCTTTTTTCAAAATATCTCTTAAGCTCGTTGGCTCGGTCTTACCAGTTCGTATCAAGTAAAAATTTGTGTATAGACGTAGTCTAGACTTCTAATCGTTCAGTTTAACAACAAACTGCCTTTTTGTCTACGCTGAAAAAAGCTAACGAAGAAACCGTTATTTTACAAACACCATTATCTCAAAACCGCGTCACCGTCGATTCCATATTTTCCATCCGCCAACTACAGGAAGAAGTAAAAGAGCAGCAGTCTAAACTTTATGTTGCATTCATCGATCTAACAAATATCTTCGACTCTGTGAACAGAGATGCGCTTTGGGTAATTATAAAAAAGTTCGGAGTACCCAACCAATTTCTTACAGTGTGTAAATGACTCCATAAGAACAACAGTCAAGAGTGTCGCATCATGGATCACTGAGCGATCCCTTTTTAACAAATACAGGAGTTACGCAGGGATGTGTCTTAGCGCCTCTCCTATTCAACATATTCATGGCAGCGCTCTCCATTATAGTGGACAGCAAACTGCAGGAGAGGGGATTGGGCATTAGATACAGATACGACGGTCTGTTCATCATAAAAAGACTCAGGGCAAAAACACGTACAAAATTCATCACATAACTTGCTGATGACTGCGCTCTAGTTGCAAACACGTTACAACAATTACAAGAAATGTTGAAGACATATACCTGGGCATACGGGGCTTTGGGCCTTAAGCTAAACATCGAGAAAACCAAAATTTCTGCACTCCCCCGGAAGATCACAATAATGCTTTAAAAATCGGAGAACTATTGGAATATGTGGCGGAATTCAATTACCTCGGCAGTTTGATTTAGGAACAGGCCAATATTGACTTTGAAATTCAGCACAGGATTAGCAGCGCCTCAAGAGCTTTCTGAAAATTAAGACAGGGTTTTCTACAATCATAACTTGAGTACAAAAACGAAACTTGCAGTGTACTGAGCAATTATAATCCCCACCATGTTATATGGTAGCGAAACCTGGGTACCGTACAAAGAGGTTAGAAGAGAAAGAGGTAACAAATGCTCTATTTTATAATGCGCGAAGGCTGCCTGTTTTTCCGATCTGGGTTCCTTTGGTGGGGGTCACGCCAGGAGCGGATTTAGAAATTTTTAAGTGAATAATGATATACATCTAATATATAAAATTCTCGTGTCACAGTTTTTATTACCTTAATCCTTCAAAACGGCTTGACCGATTTTGATGAAATTTTATATGTATAATCAGTGGATATGAGACTAGGTTGTTATCGATTTTTTATACCCCTAAGTGATAAGGGTGACCCAAGAAAAAAAAAAATTTTTTTACTTTTTTGAAAAAAAAATTATTTTAATTTTTTTATGATTTGGCATTATAAAATACATACAACCCTAAATTTTCACCCTTCTACCACCAACACCTATTTTGTAATAGGGGTTGTTTTTTTTAATTTTTTTTATTACCTTACTCCTCCGAAACGGCTTGACCGGTTTTGATGAAATTTTATATGTATAATCAGTGGGTCTGAGACTAGGTTATCGATTTGGTGGCCCAAAAAAAAATATTTTTTTTTAATTTTTTGGAATTTTTTTTATTTCTATTTTTTTATGATTTGGCAATTAATACATTTGGCAATTAATACATTAATACAATTTGGCAAAAATACATACAACCCTAAATTTTCTTTTTCTACCATCAACCGCTCTTTTTTAATAGGGGATGTTTTTTTTAATTTTTTGTTACCTTACTCCTCCGAAACGGCCTGACTGGGCCTGACCGAGTTTGATGAAATTTTATATATATATATATATATATATATTCAGTAGGTCTGAGGGTAGGTTATTATCTATTTTTTATACCCCTAAGGCGCGGTATTTTCAGGTATAAATAAATAACTTTTATCTAACAAATAACAATCTTAAAGATAAAACAATTGGTAGAAGATACACGTTTTTACACGCTATCCGTCAAATAAAATATATAACACGCTATCTGTACCTGAAAATACCGGGGGTAAGTGATAAGGGTGATCCAAGTCCACCGGCCAAATCTTCTGGTGTATGGGTGGCTACTCGTTTTTTAGACCAATCTAATCTGACAGATCAAGTCTGCTCTGATTTGGCCTGTGACAGGCTTGGTCCGCCAATGGCTTGGCCTGCTACAGACTTGGTCCGGCACACAAACACAAAGTTCTTATCCGCAGACCAAGTCTGCAGGCCAAATCTTCTGGTGTAGGACGCTAATAAGCAAATTTAATTGTAGAATAGGACTGCAGAAAAACCACCTTATGATATTAAAAATTCTTTATTTAAAACTATTTAAATAAAAATAATTCTACAATGGGCTATAAAATATAAAATAACACAATATTAATCACAAAAATAGTATATTGTTTTATTAGGAATAAAAATGACACTTTTCGTGGCGAGGCTGTACGTTTACATACAGGCGAGGCACAAAAAGTAATTTTTACTCCGAATAGAACATGCTATTTTTTTCCAAACGCCACAAATAATTTTTTAAACAATTTCAAACGTTCCAAATGATATAAAAAGATTTAAAAGTAATACCTTGTATATAATTATATATCGAGAAACTATGGTTACCCTCCTTGAATTTGACACTTTATGTCAGTTTAATAATATATTTTCGCACTTGTATGCTTGGGCGTAAAAGTGTTTTACTTTTATATCTAGGCAGTAAAATTACTTTTTTACATTGTCAATCACGTCGCAAAAACTAATACTTTTGTGACGTGTGAAAAAAATAGTATATTGTTTTATTAGGAATAAAAATGACACTTTTTGTGGCGAGGCTGAACGTTTACATACAGGCGAGGCACAAAAAGTCATTTTTACTCTGAATAGAACATGCTATTTTAGAAACGCTACAGATAATTTTTAAACAATTTCAAACGTTCCAAATAATATAAAAAGATTTGATGTGTATAATTATATTGTAATACCTTGTATATAATTATATATCGAGAAACTATGGTTACGCTCGTTGAATTTGACACTTTATGTCAGTTTAATAATATATTTTCGCACTGCTTGGGCATAAAAGTGCTTTAATTTTATGCCTAGGCAGTAAAATTACTTTTTTATATTGTCAGTCACGTTGTAAAAACTAATACTTTTTTGACGTTTGAAAAAAAAAATATATTTTTACAGAATTACAAAATATTATTGTCCCTTAAATAATACTAACTTATTATAACTAGACCGTATACTTCTACTTTTGTCAAACAGACTTTTGTTATAATGATGAATTCGCACAGTTGCATATATAGAAGAAATTAATTCTATTAGGTTGTTAAAGTGGCTAGTAAAAATATTTTGTTCTCTAAAGTGGTTATTAAGTGATTCAAATAAGTTTTTTTTACCAATTATTATTTTTAAAACTCTAATATTTATTTTTTTAATATCGATAACAGTTTCTGAACCGTTAAAAAATATCTGAAGAATTTTTTCTGTTGTTAAACAAATATACATAACATCTTCAGATGGATAAAAGAGGTACTGTCCTTTGTCT